AATGAGTCTAAAAGTTTCTAAATTAGGTAAAGCGAATTAATAATCACAACGGTTATGTTTGAATTTTGTGATATTTTAAAGAAGTTTTTTTTAGTAGCCAATGGTAGAATACTATTAACAGAAAACCGAAAAAAAAGTTGTTTATTACTTTATTGCCAATTATACCGCCGTCCTAAAATTTTACTCAGTAGACATGGTAACCTTATTGTCGGCGCGGCGAAATAGTCTTGCACAAACGTTGCTTATTTAACTACATAAGCCGCTACCGCTTAGGTAGGTAAATACATAAAATATGATGTCGCTTCCTTTGTGTTACTTAAATTTTCAAATCAGTTACTCTCCAGCCATTTAGGCATGAAGTCGATTTCATGATTTTTATTTTATAGTTATCGATTCATTATTGATAAAAGATGTCTCAGACATAGTCATATGCTCAGTAAATACTACATGATGTTATTCAGTGTTGCGACTAGAACGACCATCGATTTACTTTGAACTTTTCAACTACACCAGCTTTTGACGCAACTGTCGCTTCTACGTACGAATAATTTCTGCAAAGATGTTCTGGAAGTATGCGCGTACTACGGGAGGCTCACCAACTGCACCAGAAGCATTTGCCAAAAGCCGAAACAAGTAAACAGCAAGCAAGAATGCTGAAACAAATTTAGATCAGCTGCCAGTTGTGTTAAAAAGGAGCTGGAAGGATCGGCCCTCGTCTGCGTCCGCGCCCTATACGCGTCGAAGCTTCGCAAATGACGAAGCAACCCTTGACCTTGGTGTGTTTTAAGTTAGTGACAATGACTATCCCAAGTGCTGAAGTGCTATAACAGTGAAAGAATAGTATCGCGTAATGGAACCGACCGACACCGATAAGCACGAGTTTTCTTAGTAAACGCTGATCTCATTGGAATGTATAGGTATAGTTTCTTTATTTAAAATAAAGATTTTATTGTTTAATACTTTATAACTACATTGAACTTACTTAATTCGAAATTTATTTTTGTCATTATTATGTATCCGCCATAACATGATAATGTATCTCACTGATGTTGTGTTGAATAAATTTATCGGCGTTGTAAGATTTGTGAGTTGTAACCTTCTAAAATGTTTTTACCTTCCACTGCAAGCGATTTAATGTTTAATTCAAAATCTCAAAACAAAAAAATTATAAGTTACAGTGGAAATTGTCTCATGAAATCTGTTATTAATTCCATGTAAAAAATGTTTTATGTAGGTATGACGCGGATATTTGCTTAGAAAAATAAACGTAGTAAAAGTAGTGTGTCTGTGTTTTTTTTCCCGATAATGAATACCTATTCTTTAATCAATAACATATTAAGTAGGGCTCATGGACTATCAGTATAGCTATTTCGTGTCTTTCTGTTGTGACAAAATCCGATAAATTCAAATAAATTTTGATGATAAGCACGGTGTTTTCATTGTATTAGAGCATCGCCAGGACCTGCAGCGCGATGCGGTCGTTGTCAGTTTGGTTGGCGAGGGGCGGGCGGAGGGGACCGATAAACTTGAGGAGCGGGAAGTGGGGTAATGACGTAACGAGGAGTGGAGGGAGAGGGGAATAAGTCGGGTGATCAGATGTATGCGTGTGTGAGTTTGGAGTGATAACACCGATGCGCGGTCAGTGACTTCTATAATCAGGGTTGTTACAGTTAATAATTTTTTAAATTTTTATCGTCAAAAAATGCTTAGATTCGTATTTTAAAATTATGCCATTTGATTCAAAGTCTGATATATATACACGCCTTTAAATGTTACAACACCTTTCTGTAACACCCTGTATATATAAGTATATACAAGAATTGCTCGTTTAAAGGATAACATGTCATTAGAATAAGATAGAGCTACTGCTCTATCTTCTAATTACTTTATATACCTTTAAGACCGTCAATTATCGGCACTATTCAAACAAAATAAATGGTTGGAACAGACTTTATTAAGATATATTATTAATGCGTTTTTTTACAAATCAAGTTGAAAGCCTAACTATGAATGAAATCATAAAGGTAATATAAAATTAAAAATGCGTCGTTTTAACAATCCCGTTAATGAATATTTTAAATTTTTTTAAACATTTGACCTTTTTATGTGAAAAGTTGCCAAACGAGCAGACGGTTCACCTGATGTTAACCTGATGAAACCGCCGCCCATGGACATCTGCTACACTCGAGGGTTCCAGATGTTTTGACAACCTTTTGGAAATTAGGCACCGGCCACCTCACTCACCCGACGAAACGCGAAAGTATTATACTTCCACTTTACGCCGGTCTTCTGTGAGGTCGTGGTACTTACCCGGACGAGCCTGCCCATTCGTGCAACAGCCGAGGCTGCTGCGTGGCCCTACCACCGTTAACCTACCGCGGCCACGCAACAGTGTTCTCTATTGCACAAATGGGCAGGTCCGTTCGATAAGTCCCCCACGACCTCACAGAAGACCGGCGTGAAGTTGTAGTGTTATACTTCTGCGTGCGTTACTTCTGAGTGAGGTTGCCGGGGCCCAATTTACAATAAGGTGGCAATGCATCTGCAAATGTCAATGGGTGGCGGTTATGACTTAACATCAGGTGAACTGCTAGCTGGTTTTACACCTTCACAAATAAAATATATTTGTTGAAAGAAACAATAAGACTTGTGGAATTTTCTAAGGTGTAAAATTAATCAACAGGCGGGTTAAACCAATATTCAATAATTATACACATATTTTTAAATTATATAATTTTGCTAATACATTTTCAATAATTATGACAGCTTAGCACTTTTTATAATAATGGATGTGCATTTATGTTAGTAGTTTAGCATTATTTTCATATTTAGCCAATGAACAAAAAAATGGGTTCTCATAACTACATAAAAATCAATAATTTTAATAGTTAATTTTTTTCTTCCATGTTGAAAACACCTAACTCTTAGCAAAACTTCTATTTTCAGCTCTTGCGATATTTAACTTATTGTGTCAACAATGCTGGGGCTTTACTAAATACTCATTTCAATATTTATGGTACAAAAAAAATGATTGCTTGCGTATATGAGTCAACCATATAATTCTATTCTATTAATGACATTAATTCTCTCCGAGTGCTTACCAACTTATACACTGTTTTGTTAAGCTTGTAAGCAATTCACACTTGCGACATGTAACCAGCAATGTTAAGAACCTTAAAGTGATGGTTCAACACTTTCACTCATACAGGGAGTCTTGTTGCAAAGTGCCCAAATTTTCACAGGTTCGTTTATTTTCATATAATCGTTTATTGAAATAAAAAAAAACATTTTTTTTTTTTTCAAATAATTTCCATTCTATTCCCTAGAACACAGAACTTGTTGACATGACTTGCGGTAGTCATTCATAAATACCTAAATTTACCGTGCACCATAATAAGTATGAATACAATAGTGTTTGATTTTAAAATAATAAAGTAGTATTTTATTATTGTGGTGTTAGTTATGAATGATCGCGCGTTAAATAAACAAGTTGCACTTTTATATATGTGCGTGATTTATACGCAACTATAACGACATATAAGTTCAAACGAATGTAATTAATTACTTACGTGTGATTTTAAATATTTATCATTTTTATAATTCATTATTTATGCCTAGAATTTAATTAAAAAAAAATGGATACACTTAGAAAAGCCTCCCTGTATATTATTGATATGTTGACGCCATATTTCCTTTTCTTCTCTTTATTGGAAGAAGTTCAAACTTTTTGAGCTCATATTAAACTTTTTGCAGGTCTCCGCGAAATATTGCAATCTTTCTTAGGATGTACGAGAGAAAAACAAGAAGCCAAGCGATACACTCGGGCAAACAATTTCGTAGGGTGGTTGTTTCCTCCATACAAATTCCACATTACCAAAATATCTGAAATGTTGTTCATAAACAAATTGTGAAATTATTTTATGATGATATACATTGTTATGTAATGTATATTGAATCATATATATATGTACCTCGAAAGGATCTCGATGTCATAAAGTTGCTGTTTCCTAATGTTACTTTTAATCCTAGTAACATAATTCAGCTTTATAAAGGAATTGTAAGAAATCCACTACCTAAAAATTATAATTCAAATTAGTTGTTAACCTTAAAACATGTAGAAAATTCGTCATTTCAACATTTTCGTCGCTGTGGCTAGCAGCCGTTTAGCTCAGTGGCTAGAACGTCAGGCTGTGAATGCCGAAGACGTGGGTTCGATTCCCACAGCGGCGACAATCTTTTCGTACTTTTTCTACATGTTTTAATGTGCAATCTTAAGTGCAGAGATTAGCACTATAAAAAATTTTAAAATTTATAAAAAGTAATGGCGACCTCTCTCGTTCGAATTATCGTTGTAAAACGATATTCGAAATTGTTTGTATGCTGGAAAGGATATAACAATAGATGCGCCAAGCATTGCTTCAAATGCTAAATAACAATGTAGAAGGAAGGCGTTAAGATTTTCATCGCTGTGGCTAGCAGGCGTTTAGCTCAGTGGTTAGAACGTCAGGCCGCGAATGCCGAAGACGTGGGTTCGATTCCCACAGCGGCGACAATCTTTTCGTACTTTTTCTACATGTTTTAATGTTCAATCTTTAGTGCAGAGATTAGCACTATAAAAAACTTTAAAATTTAGTTGTTAACCGTTAAAATAAAATTATCAAAGTATTCGTGAGACATTATTAATGAAGTACGAAAACAGATTAACTCACGTCTACGTATTCGATAGTCGAAAATAAATATATCGATATATCGGGAATAAAAATAACGACGATGTATATCGATATTTATTTGGAAAAATATCGATATTTTGATCTATCGATATTTTCTGCCCATGCCTACCTGAAAACTGTCAACTACTCCGTGACAAATTCGCTTTCCTCACTATTTATTTACATTAAAAACAAAAAATGTTTAAGAATATGGAATTGCGTAAACTACCAGCAGGTACTCTTTGTGAGATAATCAATACTTTAGAAACCAATAATGATTGGAAAACAGTGATGGCCTTAATACCCAAAAACCCTAGTAGTAATAATACATTTGAACCGAAGTACAATGATGATGACATCAGGTAAGACCAATTTTATTCATTATGAACTCCTACAAATTTTTTTCAATACATACTACTACATACGCTTATTTATTTAAGGCTTGTTGAAAACCATTCAAAAGCAACAAATAGACAATGTGCAGAAATATTTATAGATGAATGGGCAACATCAGGACAAGTAAGACCAACCCTAACAACATTAAAAGAGATCACACTACAGGCAAATATCTTAAAAGCTGCCGATCAGATTGCTGCATTACTAAAAGGTACTTAAATTACTGCACAATATGTTATTCTTCAGCTTTTTATCGTTTAATATTAATTATAGATTGATATATTGAGTAAGACTGCAGAAAATATTGAAAAAATTAAAGAGCATTTTAATTTTCTTGGATCAACAAATGTTATTAAATAAAATGTTATTAAAACTCCATATGTTTATGTAATGAAAGTGTTTTATCTCAGAACACAAAAAAAGGATAAAGGTGCAGATTGGCGGCACATGTTTTATTCTCTTATAAATATTTTTAAACAATAAAAAAACATTCCCTTTACATAAAATATAAAAGCAAAATCTACGGAAACTTCCAGATTTTGAGAAAATATAAAATTATCTTACAATTTTATATTAAATATTTTGTTTATAACTTTGCATACAACATACTTGTATAAATACTTGTGTCGTTTTTTCGATTAGTATTTTTTTAATTTAATGAGTCACAGATCTTTATCTTTGTGGTTATTCTTTTTTATGACCACCCAGTTAAAAACAATATTAATTATCTGTGGTGTGGTGCGCTAATATTAACCTTTATCTAACTAACTCAATGTAAGATTTGCGCATGTGTGCTATCGAAAAATTTTGAGTTGTGTCGCGACACCCAAGTGCGTGAGATATACTCCTGTGAAGTTTTATTTTTAAGTATTATTTGACTTGCTTGCATGAATTTTTATCGTATGTTCAACTACGAATAATATTAAAATAGTTCACCAAGTATCATTATATAACAATTGGCCATATATACAGGGAGGTTTTTGTAAGTGTATCCATTTTTTTTATTAAATTCATTATAAAAAAATTATAAAAATTTAAAATCATTCGTAATTAATTAAATACATAAATTTTAACTTATCTTAAAAAGTGCGTGATTTATGGGCAACTCATTTATTTTACGCGCGATCATTCATAACTAACACGCACACAAGTTCGTTTCAAGACGCATTTATGAATGACTAACGCATAGTCAACAAGTTCTGTTTTTTAGAATGGCATTTTTTTTTAAGTTTGTTTCTATTTCAATAAACCATTACACCACTGAGATTGAACCTCCTGTGTGAATTTGGACACCTTTAGAAAAGCCACCCTGTATAAAGGCTGGCCCAAATCTCAATGTCAAACAAGGGGCGTGGGCTAAGTTATACCAGTTCAGGCTCAAATAAATTTTATGTTACATGGTTAAGTGATAAGAAGAATACTTTTTAAAATGTTGAAAATCATTACCCTGGATTACATATTTAGATACTGTTCACAAGTTTCCCAATTTTTTAGTGTTATTTTTAATTTAGGTAATCGTAAATAAGTAATGCTACGTAGGCGGGATGATAAGTAACTAGCCATTGCTATTTAAAAAGTTAAAATTAAAAAAATATATGTGTCATTTTTAAATTCGTATCTCTGGCCACCTGTGTTCTAAATTTAAATTAGGTGGCGTGAAAATTTTATTGTTTTTTTGTCATTTGAAAATATATTTCGTCAACTATTTTCGAAATGGATAAAATTGAACAGAGAGCGGTGATAAAGTTTCTTCATATGAAGGGGATGAAGGCGAAAGATATCTATGACGAGTTAAAGAATGTTTTGGGTGAATGTGCTCTTTCTTATGTCACAGTAAAAAACTGGGTGGCTGAGTTTAAACGCGGTCGTACATGTGTCCAAGATGAAGCTCGCCCCGGACGTCCAAAAAGCGTTACGACTCCGGAAATGGTCGTGAAAGTACATGATATGCTTTTAGCAGATCGACGATTGAAGTTATCTGAAATAGCTGACACTACAGGTATCTCAAAAGAACGGGTACATCATATCCTAAGTGAGGAATTAAATATGAAAAAGTTATCGGCCCGTTGGGTGCCGCGAATGCTTACGCACGATCAAAAAAGGATTCGGGTGCAAAACTCAAAAGAATGTCTGGACCGTTTTCAGAGTAATGAGGCCGATTTTTTACGTCGATTTGTAACAACAGATGAAACATGGGTTCATCATTACACGCCAGAATCAAAAATTCAATCAAAACAGTGGACTCAATCGGGATGCCCGGCTCCAAAAAAAGCCATGGCTGTAAAGTCGGCTGGAAAAGTGATGGCTTCCGTCTTTTGGAATGCAGATGGCATTTTGATGATAGATTACCTTGCTAAAGGTCAAACAATTAATGGTGAATACTACGCTAATCTTCTTGATAAGCTTCATCAATGTATTCAGCAAAAACGACCAGGTTTGGTGAAAAAAAAAAACATCTTCCACCAAGACAACGCTAGGGTTCACACATGTGTTAAAGCTATGGCAAAAATCAACGAATTGAAGTATGATTTGCTGCCTCACCCACCTTATTCGCCTGATCTAGCGCCATCAGACTTCCACTTATTCCCTAAGCTCAAAACTTTTTTGGGCGGAAAGAAATTGCCACAAATGATGAAGTCATAGCCGCCGTAGAGGAGTATTTTGCAGGCCTCGAAAGAAATCATTTTCTGGAAGGCATTACTGCTTTAGAACGAAGATGGAATAAGTGTGTAGCGGTTCACGGAGAGTATGTCGAAAAATAAAATTAATTTTATCACGGAAAGTTAAGTGTTTTCTTATTAGGCTAGTTACTTATCATCCCGCCCTCGTATTAGTAAAAATATCTATAATGTTTTATTAAACTAAACGACTTTGGCTGTTTCTCTATAGCTCTTTGTTTGTGCTGCCAAATGTTATTACTTGTACAATAAGAACGTTTCGCAACATACCGTATGTGTATCCAGCGAAAGAATATGCGAGCATTCATTTTATCTACGGTTTGAATGCAGCCTCGTGACTACTCACTCAGAATCGAGTTTGCAGAACAATGTTGGTAATAAATCGTGAAGATAGCAACAACGATCTGGATTTTCTACAGAATAATTTGCTGACCTTATTAGAAGACGTACCACTCCACATGTACCGAGACAAGAGGTTTCAACAAGGTGGTTGCACAGGACATTATAGTCGTCCTGTACAATATTACCTGATTATCCCGCTAGTTGGATCGCTTTGGTACAATTTGTGGCCTCCTCGGTCTACGGACCTAAACCAACTTGATATCTTTTACTGGGGCTGCGTAAAAGAAAAAGTATATTTGAAAGTTAAAAAAAAATTGTTGAATCAGCAGAAGAAATAAATGTAAGAAGAAAAAACCAAGGAGATAAGCACGTCTAGTGAAAAGATCTTTTCTCTAAGGCGATGCTATGAAGAGGGCTCCATCTAATATCCGGCCCAAATGATGAAACTTGAACTCTGAAAAAGTGGTACGGATTGGTCACGAAATGGTCAATGATTGAGCTATTTGTCAATACTTTGGCACTAACTGCAGAGAGTTTAATATTCCAAGATCATCAAAAAAGTTTTGCTGACTCAATCGTAGAGATCGAATCTAAAATTATTTCAATTGGTTACAAAATGGTCACAATTGGTTATTTAACTTTGATAATTGGTCAATTGTTATTTACGTATTACAAAAAAATAAATAAATTGTAAGTTAAGTTTTTTTTTATTAGCACCGCAAAATAATAATTATGCAAAACATAAATATCAAGCAAAGATCGTAGAAAGTTACGAAATGCACACCACTAGTCAGAAGCTTACAGTAATTGTTCAACAGTATAAAAAGAATCACAAGATTTTTACCTTTCCAGAACGGCCTTATCATCATAGCACCGCAAATTGATCGGATGAACCGCTTTCAAAGACAAAAAGTATTGTTGCAACAACATGCATAGTTGAGTATTCCGGTAATTTGTCAGCATTTAGTTTTCTTATATATTACCAATATACAAGAGTTGACGTCGACTAGCTGCCAATGGGGTTCCGTAACGTTTTTAGTTAAGAATGCAGATTTATAGAGCTAAGAAATGCTCAACAAACGGTAGCTGTGACGTCACTGTGACGGTCGCAGCCAAGAAGCCGTTGGCAACTATACGGGTCGCAGTGTCTGTTTTGTTAGATTAATTGCGACTTTGAAATCAATGAAATGTCCGATTTTTGTCTAATTCACCTTTTGTACAATGAATAAATATTTGCCTAGTGCTGAAAAGTACAATTCTATTAAAACGCCAGAAAAAACTATTTTAAAGTGCTGAAAGACCTAAAATTGGTATGACGTTGTAAAGAGCCGTGATAGCTGTGTCCGGGGCGCTCGCCTTTAATTCAATATACTCGAGCAACCTGAGTTCGATCCCTGATATTTAATTTTAAGTGCTGACTTTATCACGTGCTCAACGGTGAAGGAAAACATCACGAGGAACCTGCATATTTTTGATATAATGACAAAAAAAATTAGAATATATGTGAAGTTGCGGGGCCGCGTGGTGGACTGTACCCTGATACCCTCTGTAAAAGAGGAGGCCTTTGCCCAGCAGTGGGATATGTATAGTATAGACTTTACTTTGTAAAAAGAGAAGATAAAACTCCACCCTCTGACTAGGCAACAGTGATCACTGGAAACAATACCAGGTACCTTTAATAATAGGTACCAATTTGTTTCCATATCAACTAAATAATTGGTATAGTTATGTAGGTATGTACATCGAAATGATCAGTAAAGCAATGTCATTTGTTTATTTGAGAAGGTGGCTGCCAGCTGGCAGTTCATCTGATGTTAAGTCTTGTCCGCAGCCAATTGACATTTGCCACTCTTGATAAAGAGGGCCCCGGTTACCTCACTCACACGTGAGTTCATGCTACTTCTCATGACGGCGCTGCGCATTCATGCAACAGCGCAATCTGTTGCGTGGCCTTACTAGGGATGTGGAAAGGGAAGAAATATAACGATATATAGATACTTTTACTATGGATAATATATCGATATTTGTCGTTGTCCAAAAAAAATCCTATATCAAGTATTAAATATTAGACACCTACGGACAATGTGCCGGATTCGAATTTGAAAAAAATATAGTTTTTGATACGATTTAGATATTGAATATTTTTTATCGATAGTGGCGGATTTACCATCAGGCTAAGTAGGCTTGAGCCTAGGGCAGCAGTTTTTAGGGGGCCGGCAAATATGTGATCTAAGTTATGAGATCTAAGTAAGATTTTCCATTTTTTTCAAAAGTATTCCTATTATCATTTAACGAAGTAACATGGAATTATTTTTACTTGCCTTAACTATATGGCTATATGCCGTATATGCCTCTTGATTTAAGCGTTAGCTCGGGCTACCGAGGTAATACGAGTGAAACAGTAATGTGAAACGGTAATACGAGTGTGAGGAGTGAAACAACTCAGTCTTTCCCATGTGTTTGACCATGAACGCTGGAAAGGGTTCAAAATGTCGGGTATTAAAAATCTAATTAAACGTGATAAAACCCGTAAAATAGTTTCATTTCACAATGTGTAAAAATAAGAAATCAATATTGCCAAACCTATCCAATCAGCCCCGTACCTGCTTAATGTAGAGTTTCGGAACAACCTGTATATTATCATTTTTAATAAATTGCCCAATTCGTGGAACTACTTGCCTTTAAAGTGAACTGAAGTGTTTATTGACTGAAACAGCATATTATAGTACCTTACTTTTTGAAAGTTACTCCTATTTTTCGAAAATCGGTTAATTTACTTGAGAAAAATAGTCTCATATAATAATATACATTATAATTTTTTTGCAGTCCTTTATGACTGCATAATTTTGAAATCTCATTCATCCTCGGAATGCCAAGCGGCTGTCTTCATAAAACCAAAATGTCTTCATATTACTTGCCTCACTTATATTAGTGCAATGCTCTGTCATTGTCTACTATTTTATTGGTTTTATATTCACTTGCTCTCTATTCTTGAGAACTTAGATGTTAAGGCATTTATAATTTGACCATAATGGCATTTTACTGCGTTTCATTCATACTAGGCTACTAACTAGTGTTTTAAAAGGTTTAACTCCGGCGCGTAGTTGTCAAAGCATTGGCTTCAGCGACGGGGGTCGTGGTTTCGATTCCCACGCGGGACAACTATTTGTTTGACCCACAGATTATGGTTTCGCATCTGGGTGTCCATGTGAAATATATGTTTGTTAAAGGTCCTTACAACACAGGATAATGTTATACTAAAGTGAGGGCTACGTTTTTTTAAAAATATGGGTGCGTGTACTTATGTACGTCCGTGAGAAGTTATACTTCTTTGGCATCATTAAAAATAGTTTTTAATATGCAAATAATTAATTACAATAAAATAATAAAAAGACTGTAAAAGGATATAAAAAATAAAATTATGAAAGCGCCATCTACATTCTTTATTGAGAATTGTAACAGGCGAATGTGATTGAGAATATGCTGCCATATATATTAACCGGTTTAGCGGGCAGTTTCAAAGGTGAGACGTTTAGAGTTACAGAGATGCGGCGCGCATCTTAAAATTTCATTGTCGTCATTTTTCATAACGCGCCTAAAGAAGTGTAACTTAAAAAAAAAAGAGAATGAAATGAAGTTATACTATTTGCATGTGCAAATGAATTTCACACTACTGATATTTATTTCCATTAATTTACAGAGGGACGTGCACCTCGGCCTAGCGATGGTCCAGGAGCTGATATTGATACTGATGTTTCAAATATATTAAGGAATGAGGATATAAAACAGAGGTTTAACTCTTTTGAACCCACAAAGCGAATTCAAAGAGATTTCTCAAATTACAAAAATGTGTGCAATGCTAGTACTGCAGCTATAAAATCTGAGAATAGGACTGAAAATTTTAGCTTTAACATTCCAAACATAAAACTTCTAAATGCTTCCAGTGTGACATGTAACTCCAAACAATTGTCATTAACCTCTAGAAACATACCCGACCTTGATCGGTTACTTCAAAAATCGCAAAACAATGATCGGAATTCAACTCACATTAATTCAGAAATTGAATCATCTCAAGATTCCATAGTGCAGTTTCAAAACCAGTGTGAATCTGAAAATAATTCATATCAGAAATCATTACCTAACATATCAGACTTAAAATGCTATATTGATAAAGAAATATTAGAGGATACAAAGTTGTTTAATTTTGAGTACAGTGATTTGGAAACCATTACAAACAATTTTTCTGAAACAATAGTGGATGGTCCATTTGGACCTAGTGGAAAAATAGGGAGTGGAGGTTTCGGAGAGGTATTTGTAGGCTATCATCCCACATTTCAAATGCCTCTCGCTGTCAAAAAAATCTATAAACATTCCTTGTGGTATTCACAAAATCCACAGATAATTATCGATATGTTTAATACTGAAGTAAAAAACTTAACACAACTTAGACATAAAAATATTCTTCCAATATTAGGCTTCTCAATGAATGGCCCCGTACCATGCATGATAAGTGAATATATTGAAGGTGGGTCTTTACAGCAACAAATAGAAGCAATGGTTTTAAATGAAAGGCAACGCATTAGAATTATGCTTGGCACTGCTGAGGGTTTGAGATATTTACATTCAAGCGAAGTTATAGTTAAAGATAAGAATGGATCAGAAAATGTAATAAAAAAAAATAGTTTTGTGCATAGAGATGTTAAGAGTGCTAACATTTTGATTACAAAAGATTGCATCCCAAAGGTAATGTAAATTGATTTTGGCATGAATATTGATTATGTCCAATTTTTAGTGTGATACAAATTTTGTTTTGTTTGTTTTAGATTGGTGATTTTGGACTTGTCAAACAACAGCAATCAACATGTATCACGGATATGCCAAAGGGTACTCATGCATACATGGCTCCTGAAGGATTTTCTGGAACAATTTCACCAAAAATAGACGTTTATAGTTACGGAATTGTCCTCCTAGAACTTTTAACGGGTTTGAAACCTATTATTGGTAGTAACATAACAATAAATATAAAAGATTATGTTCATGATCATACAACAGAATATGGAGATATAAAAGGAATTTTGGACCCAGTGGTGAAAGAATGGAGGAAAGCAGAAGAAATATATGCTCTTTCTCAAAAATGTTTAGAGTATGATAGGAATCGGAGACCATCAATAGAAAATGTTTGTGAAGTGTTGAATACCATCAGTAACTAGTTCAAAACTTTATCGACACTTTCACTCCATTACTTAAATTGAGTTGCTAGATAAATTGTTTATTTAATTTAATTGCAAATCTTTACACTTTAATTTAAACTTCTAATTTTATTTTAAACAATGGACACATTGTTTTAGCGTTGCGCACCCAATGCGCTCAAAATAAAAATCTATACCGGGTGTCTTTTCTAAATGTATCCATTTTTTTATTAAATTCTGTACATAAATTATGTTATACAGCGTATCGTTACCATCACGAAAATAAATGAACACACGTCTAACGCTACTTGCCAATAATCATAAAAATATTAACGTTAAACAAAATCCGTAATTAAAAAAAAAATTTAAACAAAGTAATTAAGTAAAAATTCTTTTTTTACAAAATTTGTAACACCTATACAACTCGCGCCACAGCGTCGCATTACAAGCCTCTCCTTCCAACAGTATGTTTTGTCTCTTTTAAATTCATTCTACCCATTCATATGCTTTGTGTTTACAAATGAACTTTACGTTACAGTTTTATACGTAACGTGTTCTAAAATTGTTTGTTTTGGAAAATTTTATAACTCGGTAAATAATGATGTTTAAAGAATGTAAATGTTTAATACAATTTTAAAAAGTTATCCTCTATATGTGTGTTCATTTATTGCCGCGGTGGTAACGACACGCTGTATAAAAAATGATAAATATTAAAATCACTCGCAAGTAATTAATTACATTCATTTGAAATCATCTCAAAAGTGCGTCATTTATACGCAACTCATTTATTTTACGCGCGATCATTCATAACTAACACGCACACAAGTTCGTGCACAGTAAAAATTTAGGTATTTATGAATGACTACCGCATTGTCAAAAGTTCTGTTTTTTAGCGAATAGAATGGCATTTTTTATTTCAATAAACGATTATATAAAGTTGTAAAAAATACGATTTCATAAAACATGAAAAATTTATTAATTATAAATATTATTTTCTACAATAAAATATTATTTACAACATAATTTCATTTATTATTCTCCTTAACTTCTTGAGAAACCCTTTATTCAAGGAACAATACATCATTACAGCAGTATAATATTTTCAATAAATTGGAAAGAATTTTTTGTCCTGCAGAAAATTCCCAAATACACCAACAATACTTTATCCATTCCTTCAGTGTCTGAAAAAGTTATTGTGATATTATAGTCCAAGATCCGGCTGCAGAATTACAACACTCATCGAGGATATGCTAAAATCCAACTAGAATATATATTTACCGGGTTGCCTATCAAAATGTGGCCGCTAATATTTTTAATTAAATTATTGTTATTTGTTTTTGGGGAAAAAATTTCATTCATTTGTTTTTTAAATAAAATATTGTCCACTTCATGGCAACATACATAGGCTATGAAAAATCACGGTTGCTGTTAACTACTTGACCGCACCTCTTCACAGCCAGGTGTAGACAGGTATGATTTTGATAGGTTTTTTACGTTCATAACATACATTTATTAGTTCTATATCAAATGAAAGCTATTTTTTTTTCTGTTAAATATGATATACGGTTTCCTTATTAAATTTGGCCGCAAATAAGGGTTGCTGGCTGTTAAAGATCGTATCATAAAGGCTGTTAAAGATATTTAAGATGAGTGAAAGAGAGCTAGCGTGTAACATCACTAGTCAGACGGGGATAGCGATTGCCAGCTGTAAATTAACAGCTTATACATATCCCACTGCTCACTGCTGGGCAAAGGCCTCCTCTTTTACAGAGGGTATCAGGGCATAATCCACCACGCAGCCCCATTAAGGATTGACAAACTTCACATATCTTCAATATTGAGATTTTAATTTGATATATAAATAATAAATGTATGTTAATACTATTGAAATAAGACCACTGTTAATTTGTACTAAATGTCATTGACTTTACTTTTACTACTAAACTTTTCAAAGTACCTACCAATAAGGTAATATGCAGAAGTATTTCGCTAACTGCTTCATTGCAACATAAGTCTAAATTATCAGCTATGATAGTTTGAAAAATGCTGCTGTTAGCACAGTTTACTTTATGGATTGATATTATAGTTCTAGTGAATTTCAAGCATTCAGATTTCCTATACAAGTTTGATTCCATATAAAGTTCATCAAGTACAGTGGCAAACATATCATCTAATTTCTTGTGCTGCAAAAATGTAATCATAATTGTTTATAAGAGATCTCATCATTGAAATGAATAGCATGAATTCATACATACCTTATCAGCTGTTGGGATATTATCATATAAAGCTGTCAAGCACTGGAATGCAAGATTAGTTACTTGAATGTCCTTCTCAGACATGACTTTTTTTAGAGTCAAGTATATGACTTCATAATAATTCCCTTCATGAAAATGTTCCTCATTCTAAAATGTGCACAAAGTTTGTTGGTTACAGAAAATATGATGTTTTAAACTAAAGATGTTTGACTGAAGATACTGAGCGGCATTTAAATATTGTTTTGCTTTACATTATTATGATATAAGTGAATGCGACAGATGATATGGATAGAATGTATGTATGATACTGCAAGAGATAGCAGTCTATAGAGTTGCATTTGTTGTATGCTAATCATAGATTGAATCAGACCGAACAAAAGAAAATTACACAAATTGCTGTAAGATATTTTAATGCCTAAGTGTCAGAGACTAGTGTCTCATTTACCTCATATCTGTCTATAATTTTATATATTTTGTAGTTTGTGCTAGTTAAGAGAAAATTTTCAACCGTAATTACATAATAGGGAAATAATTAATCAAATCTAAAATGGTTTTAAAAATATTTTCTTACCAAACAATTTAACACAGAAAGGCAACATTCCAACCCTTTCAATTTGTTTTCAACAATATAATCATCTATCAAATGTAGAGAGGCTGGTAAAATTTTTGAGGGAACAACAGAAACATTGTATGTCTGAAATAATGGAACCATTTAATATATTATGTACCCAATATTTTTTTTTCAACCTGGCGAAACTTACTTTTATATCTTTGACTATGTTGTGATACACTTCAATTTGACCAGGATACCTCTTATAGCAACTTGAAGTTAATTTGCCATGCAATTTTTCCATACATTGGTCGAAAATTGTTTGCTGATTAAATACTTTATTAGATAAAAAAATATTTTTAATATTTATTTCGTAAAACACTTCAAAATAATAACTTAATTTGTCAGCTAATTTTAAACTGTCTCCACAATTCCATGAGGTCTTAATTGAAAGTTCATAGTATAAAATAATTAGGTGTGTTAAAACATTTTCTGTCTTATTATCACTTAAATTTAATTCTTCTAAATTTGTTAAAAGTTTTTGATAGTTTTCATGTATTTTTTTATTACGTATTTCGAATTCAACGTGGTTTTGACTCTCATCATAATTCTTGCTTAATTTTGGTAAAAGGCATTGTTCAATAAGTTTTATTATTTTATGAGGATCTTCCATTTTTATTTTCAAATCACTATGTATATATTATCAATTTATCATTATTGATTATTTAGCTACTGCTATATATGTCATAGTACATGAACTTTAATCTTCATATTCAATTATTCATACATTACAAAAATCAATAAAGTAAAGGAAAAACAGATAGACAAAAGTACTCTTCGGGTAGCGGTATCAACAAAAAACGCACGGCCACGGTCTTTTCAACAGTGTTACCAACTTTAGAAAGTTTTTGTCCCTAAAACTCAATAACATAATATTAAAAATGTATGTAAAAATTATAAAAAAATAAATTAACATAATATTAATAACATAATATTAAAAAATTATAAATAATAAATAGCGCCAAGATATTTGCCTTAATTTTCAAATGAATTGTATAAATACCTACAGTAACGAATATTGCAGCAAAAATATTGTTATTTTAAAAAGTAGTTGTATGAAATATTGTAAAAAAATGTTTTATTTTTACATACAATTAATATAATCATTAATTACAATTAATAAATATAATTTTGTAGTATTTTTATTATTATAGTTCATTTTCTTCAGGTTCTGATTTTTTTTAAATGTTAACATTTTGGCGGATGGATTAAAATTTATTACAGGATTCACCATTTCGTTGCAGTTTAAATCGAACCATCATCATATTTTGTAACATATCAATGGCTAATCTATTTCGCAATTTACTTTTGACAATATTATAAATTGAAAATGCGAGTTCGACAATTGCGTTTCAAAGTCAAAGTATATTTATTCAATAAAGGCCTAACTTAAGCTCTTATTGAACGTCAACAAAAAATCTACCACCGGTTCACTAAACTAGACCTGCACTGAGAAGAACCGGCAAGAAACTCTGCGGTGTTGTTCTTTTTTTTTTTTTGATGCAATTATACACACTTATTTAGGTATAAAATCAGCAGCAGCCAGGGGTCTTGCAAGTGCAGAGCAATAGTCATTTCGAAACATCCTTGTCCTCAATGTATTTTTAGACATTATATTTGGCCCTTGCCACTAAGGTAGCTTTTACAAATTGTTTGAAATGGTTTATAATTAGTTGTTTGTGGATGTCACCTATTTTATTATAAAAGTTGATGCATCTACCAAGAAACGACTCTAGTTTTAGCCAATCTAAACCTCGGTACTTCCAGAGTGTCACCACGGCCCCGACGCGATGTGGATTGTTTTTTCGTAAATAGGTGGATATTATTACGTACATACATGATTTTCTCAAGTATGTAAAGCGACGGGAGCGTTAAAACGTTTATATGCTTAAATATATGCCGTAGTGATTCACGTGGACCTAAGCCATAGACGGCCCGTATAGCCTGCTCTTGTAATTCAAATAATATGAAATTGGAACCGTGACTAATGCCAGTCCGAATTTCAAAATGTTTTCGAAACGTTTACAGCCAGCTGCATCACAATCACTATAAAGTTCAAAATAAAAATCAACAGCAGAAGAAATATTTGTCTAGATGTCGCTAAGCTGATATGTCAAAATACATAATTATGATGACTAGATTGCGTTACTCCAGAGTATGCACGAGAATGCACAATACGCAGTTCTTTTCGAGCTTCTGCTTGAATATTTTCGATATCCTAAGAGACAAAATTTTCTTTCTTTTTAAAACGACTTTTGGGAGCCGGCAGGAGGAAATAATTAAGATGCAGTACAAAGAACAAGCCGTGTTGAGAAAACCATAATCTTTTATTGTCACTGGTTGCTATAGTAATTTGTCAATATTAGGGTAATGCTAGACCGATGAGAGTAAGGGTGTAAAGGATAAGAGCGGTGCTACACAGTAGTAATGGCGGAATGGTCCCTTTCCAATGGCGGAAAGCTCTTGTCCGTCCAAAGTGAAGAAGTATATATTATAATTAGAATATTCTACCGTTCCTTTCTAAGGTTCTTGAGTCCGACGTCCTTAAAGAAATATCTCTCATTGTGTATAATAAACTTTTAAGTCCATTCGAATCTGGATTAGGGCCAGGACATAGTACCATAGGACTGGCGATGTTAGGGCTGGCATGGAAGATATTAAAATCACCGCCATGGTCTTTATCAACTTTTCAAATACCTTTATTACTGTCAGTCACAACATCCTTCTAGACATCCTCTACCAATTTTTGGATTCAGATAAAATGCTAGCATGGTTTTCTTCCTATTTTCTAGGGTGCCAACAGGCAATTAATATTGGTGATATGTCATAAAGCTGGCTTAATATTGCAACTGGCGTCACTCAAGGCGAGTATTCTCTCTCCCCTTCTACCACCTTGCTGACTGATCCGGACAGTCTTTTTTAAGGCTTCTAGCCCGAAATTTAGTTCGGAAATATGCATGTTGTGCTTTTGTTAGGGTCTAAATAAGTTTAGGGCCATGGATAATATTCCATGAATCATTATTTTCACTGACCAAGGTGAACAAAATTTCTATTATGAATTTAATTAAAAAAAATGTTTGTTAATATTCTGTTGTTTTGTTAATTATTTCAACTATTTGTAATGAAAAGTAATTAAAAAAAAGTAATATTATATTTACCTTAACACTGTGAAACTCATATAAAACAATATGTTTGAATTCAATACAGGGCTTTTTTTAATTTGGGGCTTTTGAAAATTGCATTTAAGGATAGATAATATGGCTATTTCATCTTGATTTTAGGGCCATTTCTTTTTATTTTTAGTAGTTGGCAGCACAAGACCTGGAATAACAGCCAGCAAAAAATACCTAAAAAAACTGATATTAATGATTGTCTATGTCATTTTTAATATATTAGTCCTTTTTTTACGTAACTAAATGTCAAAACAATTATCTCTTTATGTTAATCACAAACTAAACTAATACATCCGCCAAAAAAGAAAAAGAAGAAGAAGAACAAATAAATAAGCAAAATGATAAAGTAATATTTTTAACAATATATACGTATTATTTCATATCGGAAGAAAACATGATGATTATAATTTTTTTTACAGATTCGGTATTAAATCTGCTATACTCGGATCAGCCGTTTATTATACTGTGGATAAAGGAGTTTGGAAAGATAGTGCTACCACTCGTGAATTATATGAGGAATTGGAAAAAGGAATGTCACCTTACGTTGGCGAATTTAAAAAGCAAATACCCATTGAGGTAAAAATAACGTTAATTCCTTAAATGTTTAACTTAAAGATTAACCTATTATATCACATTAATTTTAAATAATTTTTCTAGTCATTTAAATTCACTTTAACATAGAATATGATAATACCATTTCTAATTTGGGAGTTCCGAAAACCAGCTGCCTAAATAGTTTAGAAATAATCAATTATGGAAAAAACTTGGGATATTTAATGCCAGTAAATAACATTCTGATAATACAACAGGCTAGTCACTTATATCTGTACATTAAGCTAGGATGTTGTAATTTTTATTGTAGGTTTCTACAATAAGAAAACGATTTGTCAAATTTCAACCGTCAGATATTAATTATAGGAGTATTGATTACATTACATTGAAAAATATGACATGGCTCAGTTCATCAAGTCAGGGTTTGATATTAAGCTATTGCATAGCTTTTATCGCAGGCTTTGTGTGCGGCGATCGGATCAAGAAATTCTGTAATCGAAATAAAGTCTAACACCCTCCACTCCGCCTATTATGTGGCTCAGCCGAGCTTTCGCTTAACGTGTATGTGGTACACGTTAAGCGAAAGCTATAATATCATTTATGATGATGATATTTAGAGGATATCAAGTCTCAAACTTATGTTTCTTATTTCAGTCACCATAAACCTATAGTTTCAGATAAAAATTCCTGAATAACCTACATATATTGTAAGATAATAAAAATATTTCAAACTTCTCATTTATTCAATACAAAAAAAATATAATATATTTATCGGTCACCACACACAAAAAGTGTAACTTGAATTATATCAAAGAAATAATATAATTGCAAGTTGATAAAAAATGCTATGCAATAGCTTTACCTTGGTTTAGTTAGGTTTTTTTGTACATGTACCTCTTTAATGACCTTTATAATATATTAAACAACACACTATACAATACTATGACTATAAAATACATTAAAAAAATTATATTTTTCAGCTTCCTCCGCTACCATCCAATGACAGAATATCATATTTGTTTAAATATTACTGGAACTGTGGTGTAAAAACAGCCTTCCAATTTCTTATTGATCTACCAATGCATACAAGTAATGCAGCAACTGCTGCATTTGACAAAATTTCTTCATTGAATTCTGAACCTTCTTTGAGTAATCAAGAACAGGCTAAATGAAATTATACATGTGGTTTAGGTGGTATGCAGTTGTGTTATTAATAGTGGGATATTAGTTTTTGTTTAACTACTTATTTAAGCATGATTTTTTTCAGTCATTTATGTCTACTTATATAAAAAATCTTAGAACTTAATAAAAGCGTGTTATGACTATGTGTTTATGTTTTTAAGAACTATTCAAAAATTCTTTTTAACAAATTAAAAGTTTTTTACAAGAGAAAAGAGTGATTTACACTCTTTTCTCTTTGGAACATGTAGAGGCAACTCTTACTTTGAAATTTTATTTAATTCAATTAATAATTTATAACATTAGTGTTTGGTAAGGTCTCACTCGCATCCATAGTCAGCTCTCTGAGCCCACTTTGGAATGCGAGCGATCAGGGTGCAGGGGACAGACTGAGTGTAGCAAAGGTGTAACCACTTTCCGTCCTTTGCGACCCAAGGAAGAGGAGTGTCGATATTGCGTTTGGCCGTTCTCCCTATCCTCTGCGACGCGGGGTTGCATTGCTGATGGTGGTTATGGGACCGTAGACGGAAAGGAGTGTCGGTATTGCGATACTCCGTAGCCTCCGCGGCCGAAATGTGGAGCGGCGGAGCCACATACTAGATCTGCCGCTGGGTTGTTCGCTGGCAAACTTGGGGTTTTCTTTCGCCATGAAAAAGGGACCAAGTAGGAAGACGCTCTGAATATTATAGTGCCTTACATGGAAGATAGAGTTGTTGCCCGAGAAGGGCTGCTAAAGCGGACAGCGCTGGCAGGGTCGCGGAAGTGTGCCAAAATTTTTTTTTTTTTTTTTAGTTTATTTGGTCTGCTTAACCGAATACAATCTAGCATGATAACAAAAGAAATATACACAGAAAAAACAAAGTGATTGTATTCTATACATAGCAAACACAGCATACACAATGAGACTCAATATAAGTCTGTCACCACACTGTCAAGTACAAGCTGTTACTTGACAGTGTGGTGTTCTCACAATTGTAATATTTCTTCACCTAATTATGCTAGAATTTTATGCATTTTTTGTATAACTGAAGTTGATACATAATTCAAACTGAATAAACTGGAGACTATAAAGCTTCTTCAGAAAGCCACCGTGATTCATGCGCATCATCGACTTACACATAGATTTAGAGCTACCCAGTACCCACCATCGCGCAATTCCGGAAGCTTACTTCGGCGGTGGACTCTCTTACCCGTCACTTCTATCGGTGCCAACGCTTTCCGAAGTGGTAATAATGATATCTATAGATAGAAGTGGTAATAATGATATCTATAGATATCATTATTACCACTTCGGAAAGCGTTGAGATAGCAGATAGCAGTTATCGATCGGGCCGAGTTCCGTTCCCCTCAGGCACCTTCGAATCACAACAAGCCAAGGTCCCCTCTTGGAGGCCATTGAGCCTAGTTACTCAGTGGAGCGGCCTACCAAACCGGTGATATTAATAATAAATGGCCAAACCAAGGGTCCCTCGAACTTAGTCACTCATAAAAGTGTCACAGGCTATGCGCCCTCAGCACCCGGCCACCTCAAGCACGGTGGATCTGTAAAGATCTTCAAGGCCAACATTGGAATATCAAACAAAAAAAAAAACAGACAAAAACAGTTTGGGCGTAAGACCAATCAAGAAAACATCAAGAAAAAAGCAGAAAAAAAGCAAAAAAATCTAAAGAAATATTTATTTTAAGTTACAGACACAATGTCCGGTTTATTCCATTGTTTTTGAAGTAATAAATTAAATTTGTCTGATTTGTTGTATCATCGTGTCGCGTACCGTAACCGCCAGCTACAATTAGTGGATTACTTGAATACCGTCAACTCGGTTGGGACTTAACGACTCTTTTGAGAACTCACGTGAATGAACGTTGCGGGCAGGCTCTTTTGAGAGCCATGCTTGTCATGAGGGTACATATTTTTTATGAGGCTATCCAGCGGCTTGTTCAAAATTAAGTTAGTTTACTTGCACACCCGTATTAAATACATAACATAAAGTAACAGCCTAAAAATGTCCCATTGCTGGGGAAGTCTCCATATTTGTGCAATTGGACAAATTCACATACATTCAAATATTTTTTCTTGATACAGGTTTCCTCACGACGAGTTATGTTACGGTGGTAGGGCCACGCAGCAGCCTCAGCTGTTGCATGAATGAGCAGGCTCGTCCGGGTAAGTACCACGACCTCACAGAATACTAGCGTAAAGTGGAAGTATGACAAATACGTTCGCGTTTCGTCTGGTGACTGAGGTAACCGGAGCCCTCGGGTGTGGCAGATGTCCGGCGGTATTCACTTAACATCAGGTGAACCGTCTGCCGCCGATGAAGTACGTGAAAGTCAAGAATTAAAATTAGGATTTGAACTGTAGAAACTTACTTGGCAGTTGAACAACATTACAATGGAAGTGTCAGCCAATTTTGTGGTTAGTCTTGTACATATATCAAGGGGTAGATAGGCTCTTACAATGAGTAACTTCGCCGAAATGAGCAATGTTTACATCGAATAGCATGGCACATTTATAACATTTAAGCAAGTAATATAGCAAACTAATGAAAAAGTGAAAAAACATATTTTATAGTATTAAAATGCATTTCGCTATAGCACCACCATTTATTTCTGTTGGTCTACATATTGTATTTGGTAACTAGGGATTTGTTTTAAATAAGTAATTTATTATTATTATTATTATTAGGCATTAGTGTTGCGAATTTACCATACCCAGCTTAATACTTTATAGAACTCTCAACTCCATGAATACTCTGAATTTGATGGCTATTAATGAACACTTCAGTGAAACATGCTATAGCTAAATGAGCCATACAAAATATGATTTTCTTCGTAACATTTTATAACGCAAAGCCAAAATCAATGCGCATAAATTGTAGTCTTATTCTTAAAGGTTTAATTATATTATTAACTTAGCACATAGTTTAATAAAAGAATCTTAGAAACTATTTCATATCCAATGTTTTGTTAAATATAAATTGTAAAGTACAGTAACTATACAATAAAAATCTCAAACTAAATAAGTTATTATTTATTTTTTTTTATGTGAAAAGTTGCCAAGCAAGCAGAAGTTCACCTAATGTTCGAGTAGTTAGTAGATGCATCTACTACACCCGAGAGTTGCAGATGTGTTGACAACCTTTTGAAAATTTGGCATATTACTAAACTAAATTAAGACTAAATTTAATTTATAGAAAATTGTTTGGCTGGTTGAATTTATTGTTTTATTCTCAACCAATGGAAGTATACAAATTCCATGATTTTCATTACAGTATTTCATCTATTTATGTAATTAAGCTAATCTATATATTGTAAAGCGGCGCCTGTGGTCAAACAGCTTATACAAAACAGTCTAAATCCATATATTACCTGTTGTGGCTATGTAAATAAAAAGCGATGTTACAAAACAGTCCACAAATGTGGCAGTTCAATTTATTTCTTTCTCACAAAGTCACATTCAACTTGACAACAGTTTAGTATCATAAATTAGCATACATGCTATTTCTGTTTTTATTATACTGCTCCCCCACTGAGCTTGTAAATACTATTGATTACTTTTATTATATGATTCAAGTGTCTCTCTCACAGTTTAAACAACATCTATTAATTTTTGCATTTAAAAAGCTTTTCAAGTGAACAAAGTTGTTTTACACAGTATTGTACATTTTAATATTTTTAAAGTAAATGTTAGAAGAAACTAATATCAACAACAAACCTTAGGTACTAGCTGTACTCTTCTAAGTTTAACTGATTTGATTGTTTTGTGCACCTTAAAATATTTATTTTTCACAAGTACATACCGCTGGGGAATGCTTTTTATATGGAAATAATTACATTTTATTCAAAATTTATCATGTAAAATCTTAACATACAATTGCAATAGGGGCTGGCTAGTGATAACTTGAAACGTCTTGTAGATGGAATCTCATTAGATTGTGTTTGAAAAGCACACAAGAGCATCTAACCTTTTGAATATCCTATAGGCTTTTTCATGTATAAATATCTAAAGTACACAATAAATTTGTTTAGATATTAAGTATTACTGACAATCTTAGGTGATTGATTATAAATGAGATTAAAAACATAATCAAGTACCTGCCATGAAAAGTATATTGCCATTGACAATTTTTTAATATATCTGCATTATGCTTTGCGAGAAGTCTTTGAAATGGGAATCTGTAAAAAGTTTTATCAAATTAATCCCTGGAGGAAAAGATAGCTAGGCAGCAGTTTCAACCTCCATTGCTTCTTCAGCACCAGTTTTCTTTTTCTTCTTCTTGTTGGATTTTGCAGAGGAATTCAGGAGTGACTGTTGCATGAAAAAGCATAGTACATTTTTACTCAATGAAAACGTAAACAATAATACAATGGGAAAAACCCAGAACATATTGCCTCGTGTTAATGTTGTAATTGTTCAAACCAATATGCTGAATTTAACAAATTGGCTCAAAAAAATTACATATTTTTTACCCTGTGCTTGTTCAAAATTGATAATTTGTTAATCATTTTTGAAAGATTACAGGGACTTATTAAACAAATAAATAAAGATCAAAATGCTTTTAATTTAAATAATGAAATTCTGAAGGGTGTTATAATTTTAACATTAAAGTACAGTTTAAGGGAAAGCTGATAAACAGAGATTACCACTATTAATGAAACATTAAATGGACATTTACAACACTAGAGATGTTGTAGACGTAATCTCATCAACTGTTATAAAATGGCCCAAAATTGGTCCCAGGTTACCTTGGTCACCAAACAAAAGACAATTAATTGAATACTTCTGATGCATGTTGGACTTTGTAAGGTAGTTCCCCTGACGACTCTGCCCATTCATGTAACAGCAGAAGTTGCTGTGTCCCTTACCACAGTCACTAGTCACCACACAAAATAAAAGTATAAATATGATTGCTTCACACCAATAATTTTGTTGTGTTCCTGAGCTGTTATCTAAGCTGTTGTTTTTCTAATTGTAAATCAAACTTTCCTATGACAGTTTTTGAAATGTTTACTGGCAGTATTTAAACTCTGTATTTCTTTCATAAATAGAAATACAAGTTTAGAGGCATTCATATGTATCAACAAACTACTTATAACATTCCAGAACACTTTTACTTGTAAACGCCAACTACTTCAACCTGTACCTCATTTATTGACTTAATGATAAGTATATGATAGTAATTAACTATATGATAAGTATTTAACATTCAAATATTGAAAATTCCTTCAATTAATATTCTTTAAATTCCTTTATAAATATATGCCATTAGTTAGCTATGTGCTTTATTTTTAAAGTAATATTTTGTATTTACATTAAGTTCTGGATCTTTAATGGAGCGGTCACTCTTGCACAAACTCTTATCGAAAGGCAATCCAGTGATTCTGTGTGTGCCACTGGGTAGAAGTAGAGCTGTAAATTTGAATTGCGCTACTAACTCTCCAGGACGTTCGTAGAGCACCTGTAATTTTAATGAATTAACTTAATGTTAATGCATAAATGTAACAAGCAAAACAACTCTAACACATTTTAATGACTATATTCTAGACATTAGAACATAGTCATTAAAGTACTAATTGTTTAGACAAATAAGAATTTATTTAGCGAATTATAAGCAACAAATACCATACCTGGAAGGGCTCAATAAGCTTGTGATTCACACATTCAACTACACCCAATCTTGCACTTGTTTCCTTATCAAAGCTACGCAAGTTGAATGGCATAGAGCCATGTTTATTGCGAACCTTAAATGAAAATAATTTATAAGTACTTAATCCAAAAAGCACAAATAAAATATGAATAAAAAAAATCAAATTACATGTTAAGAGAACTGTGTTCACATTTAAAATAACACCTTCATAAAGGGTTCTTTTAGTGGAGACAATGTTTTAATAGAAGTGTTTTATTATTGTAATTAATAAGAAAAATCATCTAGAACACTTAAAATACCATATTTGCTCATCTATACAGGGAGGCTTTACTAAGTGTATGCATTTTTTTAATAAAATTCTAGACATAAATAATGTTATATAAAAAATGATAAATATTTAAAATCGTAATTAATTAAATACATTCATTTGAACTTATCTCAAAATGTGCGTGATTTATGGGCAACTCATTTATCTTACGCGCGATTATTCATAACTTACACACACCCACAAGTTCGTTGCAAAAGTATACGACGCATTTATGAATGACTACCGCATTGTCAACAAGTTCTGTTTTTTAGGGAATAGATTTGGAAAAAAATTTGATTTGGAACTTTGATTTTGGAAAAAATAAAGTTTGTTTTAATTTCAATAAATGATTATACCCTGTGTGAATTTGAGCACCTTTAAAAAAGCCACCCTGTATAGACTATAAAAACATTATAACTTATTATTTCTGTACAGAATATACAGAATTAATTTTATTTATTTATTTCCCAAGTAGTATTTGACATACAAAAATATCAATCATATTTCATTATAAATGTGTAGTAATGATTTATACCACTGCACTGAATCAGTATTAGGCAATGGCTCAAACACATTACAACAATATGCCCTGAATGTTTCACAATATCACATTCAAGTAATATCATTTGTAAAATCTTACCCAGGGCCATTTCTTTGTCAATAACTTGCAAAACCAAATGGCACAAGCTCCCCCAGATTCTCATAACTTTAACTTTTTACATTTGATCATTGTACTGCACATACGTAATTTTCTAATAATCAGTATACAATTTACAACTATTCAATAATAAGTAAATTACCTCACTATAGAACATTCTTGCTGCTTTCAATTTTAGTTGATAAACTTCGTCAGTTTTTTTATATATCGTACACCTTGTGTCCATTTCTCGGCCCTGTAAAAAGTATAATGAGCAATATGGCAAAAACAAATATTAAAAACACCTTATGTACCCATAAAAAGTTTTGAAATGTTAGCATATGTAAACCGAAATGCAAGGGTCAACTTTTCAGTTAGAGTATATACTGTTTTAATATTCCCTGAGTACTGCCAGAAATTACATATTGCCAAAATATCTGGAAAGAATTCAGGGTGAATGATTTTAATTTAATGCTTAAAACTAATTACATATTTATGTGTATAATAATTAAAGTGTTTAGCAATCTACTTTTAAAACAAATCTAGGTAAGTTTTAAATAATTTTAGTTATTCTTAAAATATTTATTCAAATGTCACTTATATTCTACAAAAAACTTCCCGAATACTGGAAGCAACCTGTCTTATACAGCCTTGTTCAAAAATAATAAGCAACTTATAATTTTTTTTCATTTAATGGTTCTAAATCTTTATTCTACAGAAAAGCGATCATAAATATAAAAATTTATGAACATCCCTAGTCCTTTGGCATTAAAATTTAAGATTTTTCAGGAAGTGAAGTTTACGGGTTTGTGCCCTGAACGATCCATATGTCAAGATATAAAAAATACATACCACACCCTCTCCAGTAGAAACAAGCACATCCATGGCATACACTTCATAAGTTTCAAGAGTAGCCTTTTCATGCTCCTTGCGTTGTGCTTCAGAAGGGTTTTGAATTATACTCTTCTCGCCGTCAATACGGAATTGCTTTAATTGGTGAGACAACATACCCTCAACAGGTTTACATGCATACTCTGCACTAATCTTTTGTACAACATCTGTTATTGCATGATTCTGTAAATCAAAAATAAGTCTTGTTAACATGGTTTTAACTTATTAATTGACCTGACAATTTTCATATAATCACTATTTTGAAGTCTGCTTTTAAAATTTCAACATTCTAATATAATCAAGTAATGATTGTGACTTAAATGTAGGGCTATTAATCAATTAGGTGTTCATTATGATTTCTTATTCACTCATGAACTAGCTATAATATGTATTCTGATGTAGTTGGGTAAAGGTAAGAAAGACTGAAAAATTATATTAATATGTATTTAATTTACAGAACTGGTGTCTACAGAGGAAATCTTCGACATAAAAAAAAAGCATTTGATATATTGCTATTTGAGCCATCCAATTTATATTCTCAATTGATTATCTTGTATTAAGACATCAACATTGCAAATTTAGGTAATTATTCCATGAAGTTACAATAGTTCCCATTGACAATAACCATGTCTTTCAAGTTTTTTGTTTAAATATTTATTTCCTATTATATTAAATATCTATAATATTTATTTCAATAAAGATTATTAAAAATGTGTAATATAAGTCAGGATGGCAAAGACCCAATAAGGAACAATTATCTGTTTATCACACAAATACTTCTTCCATGTGGACATTAAACCCTCAACCTCTAATGTCAAAATTAATACCTTAGCAACTGTGCCACCAAGTCATAAATACAATTTTGAAAAAAAAATCTAAAAAGTACAATTTGAATTTAAAAAAAAAGCATAACTTCTTATATACCATAAAAGTAAAGTAACAGCCTGTATATGTCCCACTGCTAGGCAGAGGCCTCCACTCAACAGAAGGTTTTAGGGCATCCACCATGCAACCCTGTTGCATATCGATGGACTTCACATATCTTTGAAATATATATATATATATATATATATATATATATTGTTATTATTTCGTAAATATTCAGGAAGGAAATAATCAGGCTCGCAATGTTTCCCTTTACCATTCACAATTTCATTGGTGCTTATTGGGGATTAAACTTGGATTGCGCCCGGATGATGACCATCATGGCTCTGTTTGTCTACCATGATTTGCAATTTTTGATAACTTATAACTTGATAAGGTTTAATTATAATGCACCTCATTTCCTGGCCGTAATAGTCTCAAGGCGGCTTCACTAGCAAGATATGCTGCAAGAAGAACATCGGCAGCACGTCCAGTGACTTCTCCACCTCCAACAACGACAGTGTGTGCAACAACAGCAATGAAGCCATCTATGTGGGCACCAAGGTCTCTGTAAATTAAAACTGTGAATTAGAATTTAAGATTAACATTTGAACGGAGGACTGAATCAAATTGATAATATTTAAGTATGTATAGGAAAACATCTTTATCGTTCTGACTGATTATTTCATTTATAACTTAGGATATATATACTTACATTTTTGCAAGATCACCTTGTTTTAAAATGTAATCAGTTTCATTATGAATTGGAGAAAAATGACATATACAATTGTTCACGGACACACATGTCGAAAATGCGATACCCTTCTTGGAGTCTTTCTCTTTTTTGAATACCTTAGATGTCTCTTCTAATATTAACTTATCACCAAACTCACAAATTTCCCTTGCTGAAGCGTCTGGTACACATTTCGCTATTACTTGCTCTAAAACGCCTGGAACAGAAAAATCAAATTTAGTAGATATGGAACGGATAGGGCCACCACATTGTCCGCATGGCGATGACACGCGTCCATTGATCAAGAATTGGTATAACATTCAAAGCTAAAATCAGTTAATAATTCTAAGACATAAGAATGTTGTTGTAACTTACGGTTCACAATTTGCCCCGCTAATTTGTACTTGGTTACAACCAAGTCCTCTGCAATCGTTTTCTCAACTTCTTTGTCGTCAGCCATTTCTCTGAACTGGAGTTTGGTTAGACGAGTGCTTGTTTCTGGTTGGCTGAACTACATAATTTGGGTCACGTGATAATGACGTCACAAAAAAAGGCGCGTTTTAGCATACGGCTTAAAAGCCCCTTTTCAAATTGCAGTTATTATCAACGTGGCATATTTTACAAATTTCGCAATTCACTGCCAAAATATACTTATAGATTTTTCAGAATGACTTATAATGACAATATTTTTTTTGGTTGTTAATTGATTGTTATTACTTATATTTTTAACAATAGATAACATTGTCCATGTATATCGCAATTTAATAAATTTTGTTAAATATACAGCGTGTCGTTACCATCGCGACAATAAATGAATACACGTCTAACACTACTTGCCAATAATCATAAAAAAATATTAACGTTAAACAAAATCCATAATTAAAAAAAATATTTTTCAAACAAACTAATTAAGTAAAAAAGAAACAAAATTTGTAACACCTATACAACTCGCGCCACAGCGTCGCATTACAAGCCTCTCCTTCTATCAGTATGTTTTGTCTCTTTTAAATTCATTCAACCCATTCATATGCTTTGTGACCTTTACAAATGAACTTTACGTTACGCTTTTATAGGTAAGGGTGTTCTAAAATTCTTTGTTTTGGAAAATTTAATAACTCTGTAAATATTGATGTTTAACGAATGTAAATTTTTGATATAATTTTAAAAAGTTATCCTCTATATGTGTGTTCATTTATTGTCGCGTTGGTAACGACACGCTGTATATGTTACCGGCCAAACCCGATTTCAGGACAAACTAGTTTTACCTAGGCTAAACTAGTTCTTCCTCTACGCGATAGGAGTAACTAGTTTAGCCTAGTCGAAACTAATTTGGCCCAAGCCTGATAGGATAAACCAGTTTAGGCTAGGCCAAACTAATTTATCATAAGCCCGATAGGATAGACCAGTTTACGCTAGGCCAAACTAGTTGATATAAATACTCACACACTAGAATAAACTGGTATGGCCTAGTCAAAACATTATAGTATATCTAGAAAGTCAAAATAAACTGAATAAAATACTCCGTAATTGGAAAAAAATAGTCATATCTCAATTATTAAAATTGTTATTTATTTTTACATGGTTTGCTTTGGTGGAACTTAGAATTGCAGAGTATCATTGACTTCTTGCACTGGTATTTGTTTGTGGAACAGTTTTTGTTGCAGCTGCATCTCATAAAACCTTGGCATGATCCAAATTAATGTTTCGTAGCTGCTACTTCTAAAATGGAATGGCGAGTGAGAAGCGGTGCGGGGGTGATTTGGGAACTCCCGGATGTTGTACATGACATGTTTGCTCAATTACTTTCTTTGCTTAAACTGTTTAGACCAAGCCATACCAGTTTATCCTAGAGTGTGCGTATTTATATCAGGATCAACTAGTTTGGCCTAGCCTAAACTAGTCTATCCTATCGGGCTTAGGACAAATTAGTTTGGACTAGCCTAAACTGGTTTATCCTATCGCGTATAGGAAGAACTAGTTTAGCCTAAGCAAAACTAGTTTATCCTGAAATCGGGTTCGGCTGGTAACATTTACATAAATTATTATAGGTCTTACGCAGACCTTATATAATAATAATTTTTGCCCTAGAGCCACTTTACTTGTCGCATTGGTTAGGTGATAGAGCCGGCCGGAGAAGAACATCGTGTTAAAGAACAATATGTGTGGAACAGGAACTCCGAACTGTTATTTAAGTTTGTTCGTTACAGGTACATTCTGTTATGTCAAGATACATGTTATAATTAATTACCTGTTACGATAAGTACGTCAACACAAAGACCAAAGTAAGTCAGTGTCAAAGTGACAATCAGTATATATGTCATAGCTATGGTGACAAATGAAATAATAATAATTCGTTCATAATATAATTCCTAATTCCTATATAGTGTGTATATTGTGAAAAAAAAAATTGCGTACGCTGTTAAATTATTTCTCCAAAATCAGAAAGAACATTTTAACAATAGAAAGTAAGTGTAGAGTCGATCTTAGTATAAAATCAATTAAATATATATATATATATATTTTTTGAAGGATAATGAATTTTTTTATTTTGGTTAATCAAAGTTTTTTTGACTTATGAATTGACTTCACCACAGAGTACTTTTATATGTATATCTGGACTTCACTGTATATATATTACTGCATTTGAAGGATATCTGCAGGATTTGGTCTTCTGCTCAGCACATAGTCTATAACTCTTTATGTATCTAGAATATGCATGTTTTTTTATTTAAGTTAACACAAATATATACCTTGTTAAATTTGATTCTCTCTAATTCTTTTGTGATATAATTATTTACAGAGTAATTGTTTTCAAGTTTTTAACTTATGGAGATAGTAACAAAACATTCAAATTCTTAAAATATTGTTAATCTCTAACCAATATGACTCAGACATTAGAAGAAATTAGAAATGTGTTAGAAGAAAAGATAAAGGATGGTTTGGAGCTTATAGAAAAATTAAAAATAATAGAAGACTTGGATGGTGGACTCAAACTACAAAGGAAAATAAGACAAGAAATTTATTTTTTAAAAAGAGTAAGAAGACAGGTTTTAGCTCTATAAACCATTTAATCATAATAATTGGGTGTTCATCTTTTCTTGCTTGAAGAACATAAATATTTGTATTATAATTTTTGTTATTTTCAGTTACAAAAATCAGAAATAATAAAAATCGAACAATTAGCTTGTTCAAATCTTAGACATTTGAGTGCATTGGCTGAGTGTGCTATGAGACCTGGTGTTATTGCTGTCTGTAAAATATTTCATATTAATGATGAGAACAAGTTATTAATTGATGTTATTAGCGATGGAGGCAAAACTTGGAATAAAGGTTACTAGATAAATATCAGTTGTTTAACAACATTTGATATCTTAATAGTAATTATTGTTTCCTAAAAATGCTTCAAATAAAAAAAAATATGTTAATTACAGTTATAGCTCGAAATCCAAAATCACTGTCTGCTCTTAGTTCTGGTAATGCTTCTTATGGTGCCCGATCAATTGTAGATCAAGCACAAGATTATATGGAGTGTGCCAAGCTTTATCCATGCATGTATCAACCACCAAAGGCTAGTAGAATAAATATTCAATATTTCAGTTCAGTTTGTTATAAATTTATAAAAGAAATAAACACAAACTCTTATTTTACACCTATTTCAGGTTATGTTTGAATTTGTTAGCGGAATAGAGGAATCATTGGCAAATAAATTAAAAAGCCTAGGAGTTTTTGTCAATGGTGAAATATTACCCAATTTTAAACTCAATACAAGCGATAACTTTGAAGAATCATGGGAGTCTAGTGAAGAGGAGTATGAGGACATTAAGTAAGTTAATGATGATGAATACCAAACAGCTCTATCTTAAAACAAAATACTGTTTAAGTATAATTTTGACCAGTCACATGTCTGTAAATAAAGCTAAGATGCTGTAATTTTTAGTGTAGGTTCCTACTCATATAAGAAAACAATTTGTTAAAGTTCAACCATGGGAAACTAATAGTTTCAGATGTTAATTGTAGAATTATTGTTTATATAACATTGAAAAAGACGACATGGCTCAGTTTTCCATTGACATCCATCAAGTTGGGGATTGATATTTTTTTTTACAGAAGGTTACATTATAATATGCACATACAAAGTTTCAACGCGGAAACGCGTAGTTTTTGAGAAAAAAAATATTTTGAACTTGTTATTTTCATTAATTAAGAAATCAATTTTACTAATTTGACTTCAAAAACTCAATACACAGTACTGCTAACATGATAAATATAGAAAGCGAGCAATGTCATACTTGTATCTATTGTAAAACAATTAATTAAAATTTTTTGAAAAATTTAATGAGTCATAGATCCAACACAGAGCAATCCAACTGGGATAGATTACCCAGAATGTCAGTGCAACAGTAGTTTTAGTATTTTTTTAATTTGGCAGATGATGGTTTGATAAATGGCCTTACATGACATGGTCTTGCTCTGTCCTACCCCTAGAGTGTTTTAAGAGCCCGGAGGCGAGAAGGGAGCGCACCTCTAGCCTTCCGTGACAAAGGCACAGACATCACACCCGAGCTTCGCCGCCACTTTTCCCGCAGCGCCGGAAATAAGGCAGAATTGATTCTTACTCCCCTACTCTTTGTTGGCTGAAAAATAGGAACAAAGTAAGGATACAATTTAAGAAAAAGAAATGGTGATTCCGACCGAGACTACAGTGGGGGGTTTACACCTCTCCCCCCCCGCCCCCTTAAAAGGAAATATGTATAAAATTATCGATTTTAAAGCTTTTATTAATATAATCCAATAAGAAGTATTTCCCTTTTAAAACAACCAAACCAAATGCACTTAGAGTGCTCAGAGTTGGATCTGTGACTCACTTTGAACCACAGCACACTATTCACACTATATATATTTCTTGTTTTACCTGCAGAATAACGTTATATCTGAACTTAGCACTTGTGGCAGTGTATTCGTTTTCATTTTGTATCTTGTATTAACTGTTGTTTTTGCTTTCAGTCCCTAGACTATTAAAGCTGCATCTGACACAGGACCGGTGGGCTAGCAAGAACCCATGGGTTTGGGCCCTCCGCTGTGGGTAGGGCCGCGCATGTACTCATGCGTGCGTTTAAGTATGGTCATCTAAGGGCCATCGAGGTCACGGTTCGAACCGAAACCCCTCGACTGTGCAATTAGCTAATCGGTGGCTGGGAGTGTGGTTGTGTTGGTCTCGCCGTGCTCGGAGGCGAGGGCGTACGCAGGTCTTATACAGCGTGTCGTTACCATCGCGACAATAAATGAATACACGTCTAACGCTACTTGCCAATAATCATAAAAAATATTAACGTTAAAAAAAACATAATTAAAAAAAATATTTTTCAAACAAACTAATTAAGTAAAAAAGAAACAAAATTTCAAACATCCTATATAACCACAACTGACTGATTCATACATTCAGAGACTTTTTCATTCGTTGCCACGGCGTCGCATTACAAGCCTCTCCTTCTCACCCATATCAACTTCTAACCCATTCATATGCTTTGTGACCTTTACAAATGAACTTTACGTTACAGTTTTATACGTAAGGGTGTCCTAAAATTCTTTGTTTTGGAAAATTTAATAACTCTGTAAATATTGATGTTTAACGAATGTAAATTTTTGATATAATTTTAAAAAGTTATCCTCTATATGTGTGTTCATTTATTGTCGCGTTGGTAACGACACGCTGTATAATAATAATTTTTGCCTTAAGGGCATTTTACTTTTAGCGTTAGTTAAATTGTGTAGCCGGCCGGAGACGAACGCGACTCTATTACGAACGTTATTAATATGCGTAATAAATAACAGTACCCGGAGGACCGAGCTTTGCTCGGTTTGTTTTTTTTTTTTTTGGTAAATCATGTGTTTTGGAAATTACATTTAGATACAAATTACTGAGTAATGAAATATGCGTAATATTTTTCGATCTTACCGACCTAATAATAAGAAAATATGAAGTGGCGTTTTTCACAAAAGAAGCAACTTTAAAAAAAATGGGAAAAAAGTAACAAATAACAAATCGACAAAAAATTAAAAATAAAGAAAGCAATGATCTGGAATCGAAAAAAAGTAAAAAAAAAGGACCATGTAAATTGATCGTGATACGAACCACGGCCGTCTGTTTTGGGGCCGCCCGATTACCGACCGAGCTATTATAACATTTTCTCTTGCAGTGAAATTTACCGTCGTATTCGAATAATATTTTTCATTCCCTGAAAAGTGGGATAAAACGACATTTTCTAAAAATGAAACCTAGTCAGATCGATTTTTCGCCCCCGAATCTACGCACATACTAAATTTAATGAAAATCGCTGGAGCCGTAAGATACGCGAGTCGAACTCGTTTCGATTAAATGGGCACTGGTGACAGAATAGACACTTATTAATAATTAATCATGGGAATTTCAATTCTAAATCTTTGCACAAATTTTGTACAGATATCTTTATGATTTGTTTACTTATTTATTTCAATGTCCAACTTTTTAGTGTAAGGCCTAAAGGATGCAGCAGCACCTTTTTGATTTGTGATTACATCTCATATATTTTTTTAGATCTTATGTTATTTTTGAATCAACTTCTAATAGCAGTCTTGTTTTTATATACATATATTATATTTCAGTGAACAACCCATCATGCACGAAGTCCCACAATGCCTTGAGAACCGATTGGAAATAAAGACATTAAATTTGGATGTCACTGCTATGATGGCTTATGTTAGCAACATGACAAATGGGCATTATAATTACATTTTTAAACAAGAAGTGCTTACTCAACAAGCTGCTTGGGAAGCAGAAAGACCTGTCAAACCCATTTTAGAACGACTATTTCAAGGTGATACATATTTATGCTTATTTTGGGCTATCTTCCAATAAATATACCAATACAAGCTTTTCGCCCGCGGCTTCGCTCGCTTCTTTAACCTTTCAACCCTTTACAACACTTTTTTCCAATTAAAAAATATGTCCTTTCTTAGGCTCTAGACTATCTATGTACCAAATTTCATTTAAATCGGTTCAGTAGTTTTGGCGTGAAAGCGAGACAGACAGAGTTACTTTCGCATTTATAATATTAGTATGGAAGTATGGATTATCTATAGAATAATTATTTTTGTTTTAATGCATGATGTCTTAAACTATAGGCTCTTTGAAGTTTCAATTGTGATGCAGGCCATTTAACCGTTCCATTTCAATCAACAAACACCTAGTTTGTTGATTGAAACGTTTGCTATGGCACCTTAGCGCTTTCAGGAATATTCAAAACAGAATTATGCACTATATACAGAGAGAATTTACAAGAAGTGTCCAAATTTACACAGAAAGTTCAGATTCGGTAGTATAATCGTTTATTGAAATAAAAACTTTTTTTTTTTTCAAAAAAATTGCCATACTATTCCCTAAAAAACAGAACTTGTTGACAATGCGGTAGTCATTCATAAATACCTAAATTTTACTGTGCACGCACACAAACAAAACTTAGAGTCGTTGCGTCATAAAACTTTGTTCTCTTCCCCTCCACGCGCCCGCGGTGACCGCTCTATGTAGCCGCTGCCCTTCGTTAGTTTCGATTTGACCGTGACCTATTTAACGTTACCTAATTAAGGTCGCGTTAATCGAAAGATTAATTAGAGATAAGCAAATCTAAAAATGGCACCATTTTTAGATTTGCTTATCTCTAACGATGTCGAAACAACAACGCTAGTTATTAGAACCGCGAGTAATAAATACGAGATGGTCCGGTGCTACATTTTAAGTGGTGAAAGTTTACGTGGTGCGCAAAGACTTTATAAAAGTGACTCTTTACCGCGTTTAAAAAGACAGGCAATGAACTCAAGTGTACCTTATCGAAGGACAATTTTGGCAGCCAACCTAAGGTTATTATTACAGTTTGGACAATTTACTACACCGGCGTATACAATGCTCAGACACATGTTATAAAATAGTTTGAGAAAGCGTGCTCATCTTTGTATTGAGAGAAAGGGACTTGGAACAATTGTTAAAATATCAGTGTGTTTTTTTTTTGTGACTAAATGAATAGGTAAGTTTAATTGTTGTAAATAGTTGATTTCACTTTTTAAATACGCCATAATAAATACGAACAATAGTGTGTGATTTTAAAATAATAAAGTAGTATTTTATTATTATGACGGTCCTACGTCCGTTCTAAGTATGAAGGAAAATTGGAATCATAAACTTACTGTGCTATGATACGCATATAGTAACAAACTTTAGTTGTGTGCGTGACACAATGTAGATAGATAGGTGTCGACATTTATGCGTCGTATACTTTTGAAATGAACTTGTTGCGTGTTAGTTATGAATGATCGCGCGTAAAATAAACGAGTTGCGTATAAATCACGCACTTTTTGAGATAAGTTCAAATGAATGTAATTCATTACTTACGAGTGATTTTAAATATTTATAATTTTTTATAATTCATTATGTCTAGAAGTTAATTAAAAAAAGTGGATACACTTAGTAAAGCCTCCCTGATGTTCTTAGCAGGCTTTATAAATATTCGTTTAATTGGACTTTGGCATCACTATAGTCAATCAGGATTTAACCACTTTATTTATTTACATCTTTATTATTTTGTGCACTCCTTTATCTTATTTTAGCGAATAGGAGACGACTGTTACTTCATTCATTCTTCTTCATTTCTATTAATACTTTTTATTTATTCGTTTTCAGGAAAGGCTTTAGTGTGCTGCCGAACGGCATGGGACGATTTTGAGAAAATTGTTAACACTTTGGGGGGACCATTAGAAAAAGCAAGGACGGCAAGTTTAAAAGAGATTGTCTCTGTTCACCCCGACGATAGTGGAGGTAGAAAACAAAAATGTTCAATATAATTTTTATGGCCACCTCCCAGCGTTTGGATTTGACCTAAGAGTTATTTTTGTAGGTTCTGATGATTATCCGAGGCAAAACTTGAAAGTTCGGGGACATGTTCGTCTACGTTCGAAAATTATTTTCAATTTCGGCCATAGATTAAAAGCACTGACGGTGTCTGCTAATGACGGTTTTGTTAGAGCTGCTTTGCAACAGGTAAGTTTTTATAAGACCCAGACTTATTATTGATCCATATTTATGATTAAGATAAGAATAAAAACTATTGCGGTTATTATTGAGACGTATGTACGTTACTGTTTAAGGTACTCTTACATACGTCTCTATAATAAACGATTTTATTTAATTAACAATAATATAAAATATTGAATTAACACGATTTTATTGCTCAACATGAGGTTAATTATGTTGTACTGAATACTAGGTTGCGGATAGAGCACTATGCTTAAATAATAAAGGCCTCTTATTATCGCAAAAAAAAAATATTATGAGCCTCAAACGTAAACTTTCCGTGTAATACATATAAATATAATATTCGTAGTTGCGAAGGTATTGACTTCGGCGCCTAGGGTCGCGGTTTTGATTCCCAAAAGGGACAACCATTTGTGTAACCCACAGATAACTGTTTCAGATCTCTGTAAGTGTTTCTCCATGTAAAAAAATATGTCTAAATATTAGTAACAAAATATTCATCTCGACTCTCATGGGTGGGTCCTTGTTCTTCGTCCAATGAATCAATTCAAAAGTCAAACAACACAACATTTTAATGATGCTATGACGTTTGTACTTTATTTACTGCAAAGCAAACATCAACATTAATATTTCAATGTTTCCGAATTTGCTTCCTAAGACTGGAAGTGGATATTACTGTACTTTTATAATTTTCTAATTTCAGGATTTCAAATATTCCAATTAATAGAAGTAAATGCATTTTGTGTTGACAGGGTGTGACCTATGCGGCGTTTATACACGAGTCACGAGCTCTAACAGAAGGCAAAGAAGAAAGTGCGACTAAAATAGTGTTATGATTATTTTTAAAATTTATAATTTTTGCTGGCACATAATTTACTTCTGCCATATGGCAGGATTTGTAGTGTCAAATAATTATTGTAATTTGTTAAATTGTTAAAAAAGTGTAATAATGCGCCTTTATGTATGATATATGGTTTTAGTTTTGGTGCCTCGGAACGATAATATTTATTGATTTCGATCATGGTAATGTTATTACTATTTTATTGGTTACTATAAATGTATGTACGGTAACAACATATGAAAATAAATCATTAGTATAGTCATCGTCAACATTATGATGTTGGGGACATAAAAGTTACATTCAAAAGTAAGCTCTGAAATCATAAATAAAAGGTCATAAGTTAAAAAAGGATTAACACTTTTAAAAGTGGTAACTTTGATCAAGACGATACATAATTTACCCCATCGTCATCTAAATGGTAAAAAGGAAACTCGATCGAATGATAAACGTTACGATCCAAAGATCAAATTGGCGAGTATTAATAATAAACCAGTTACGAGATAAAATAGAACAAAAAAGCTTTAATAAATTTAATTCTTTTGAAGTATAAGTATATAGTATTCCATATTAAAAATGTCTCCATTTATATTAAGTTTTTCAATTCAAGTGAGTGTATGTTGCTGTGTATTTGCAAGTAACGTATCATTCGCCTCATTACAGATATTGGTATTATGTCACCATTTCGGTATTCTTGTGTGCGTAAACGCTTTGTTTTACATTTGCGTCTTTGTGAGCGTATATAGTTGTATTAATATTGTGAGCATATAATAATTATATGCCTAGTTGTAAGACTTAACATTTAAAATGGGGTAATTGTATGCCACTGTTAGTTTGTTACCATTAGTTTTTGGTATGCATAAACTAATATATATCTCATATTCAATTTAAAATAGGGGTGCATTGTATAATATCATATATCAACAGTCGATGCCTGCGGGATAATAAACTTGTAAGATATTCTGCTTATCAGCGTTGGTGTAAGCACATTGTTAAGTAGCTTTTCAATTGAATTTTGTCTTTCTTGCGTTAAATAATAAAAAACTGTTTTGTCATTTTCTGGTCCTTGTTAGGTGAGTACTTTTGTGTTACTTTAGATATCCATTATTTATAAGTGAGGGAAATGGAAGAGATACACTTCCGGATAAAGGAGGCTGTCGCCCTCCCGATATCTCGAAGATCCCATCATAATTTCCCATGTTTCATCTCCGGACTTTCAATCCGTAACGTCCAGTAAGCGCCCGGAGCAGGATGCTGAAATTGTTGACAAGAAAAAAATACACTCCCACTTTCTGCATACTCGACGTACTCGAAAAAACGTTATGAAATTGACTCGAAACTTGGATAAGTCAAGATAAGGCCATGTTGTCTGTTTGCCAGTCAATTCGGCATCGTAAATTCGCGAAAGCCTTACACAAATCAAATATTTCGGGTATTGCGCAGGTGGTCATTAAATCACTGGGGAAACAGGATGCTAATTAACCGTGGCAGATTCGTTCGTTGTCGTTTGCCGGGCTCAAAGGCGCCTCATGAGCGTTACGTGCGCGATATGGACGGCTGTCGTGATTGACACGGTCAACGTACACATCTCGCAAATCGTGTCGCCGATTAATATCCTTTTAATATGACCATAAATGCTTATGGGACTTGTCGATGTTGAATACAACAATAGAGGTATAAGAGATGATGCTTGGCCTCGGATTTCTCGTTTAGAATTGCATGTTTTTTTTTTTTTTACGTGGGAAAAATCCTTTATGGATCCTCCGCTGCCTTGTGGGTAGGCAGCAGGGGTATGTGGGAGTTACACGTACCCACTAAAAAACCCACGTTGCACCTGCGCTATCGCTTTGCCGGGGACACGGGAACACGAGAACGCAATCTTCCGCGAACCCCGGCGCGACTGTGGCCTTCTCAGGCCTACTCTCCCCGGGTGTTAGGGACACCCGGTCCAGCCAAATGGTGCCGTGTCGGTGCAATGAACACGGCACCCCTCTCAAGCCCTCCGCGGGGCAGCAGTTAGTCCCACATCTGCCGCCCCGGGGCTTGCTATCAGGGGGGAAGGGTTGCGCGCGTAGGCCAGCCTCCTGCGCCCTGGTCTCCGGCGGCGGATTTCCAGGGTGGCAGTTGCCTCCCTTTCTCTCTCCACGGCCTCCTTCCGGGTGATTATGTCCTCGCAGAATGCAAGGACGGCACCCCACGACCTCTCGCTGTCCACCATAGCGCGGACCACGGCAGGCAACGAGAGATCGTGCCCCACGATAGCTGTCAACTCTCGGCGCTGCTCCCGCCAGGCTGAGCACTCCTCCAGTGCGTGTTGGGCCGTCTCCTCGGCACATACGTCGCAGTGGTGGCAAACCGCTGTTGGCTCCCTCCCCGCCAAGCGGCACAGGTACCTGCCGAAACAGCCATGTCCCGAGAGAACCTGCGTCGCCCGGTAGGTAAGGGTGCCGTGACGCCTGTCCAGCCACCGACTGAGTACCGGACGTATGGCCTCTATGGTTCTTAGGCCGGCACTGGGGTGCTCCAGCCTCTGCTCCCACTCAGCAATAGCGAGTGAGCGCAACGTTGGTCTACACCCCCTCAACTCCTCTGAGGCCGGCAGGCCTGGCCCCGGGCTATCGCCTCCTCGCGCCAGAAGTGCAGCGACACGAGGATACTGGCTTCTAGATCCCAGGGAAGGGAACCTGCCAGCACGCACGCCGCCTCACCGGATATCGTCCGGTAGCCCCGTATGGCCTGTACAGCCAACACCCTCTGCGGTCTGCGCAGAAGCATCAAGGTCCGGCGATTCAGGGTGTCGGCCCAGACGGGAGCACCGTACAGGGCCATAGACCTTACAACCCCGGTGTATAGGCGGCGGCAAGAGTCGTTGGGGCCGCCAACGTTTCGGGAGGAGCCTTCCGAGAGCTGCCGCTGCTCTCGCCACTTTTGGAGCTAGGCGCTCGAAGTGGGGAACAAAATTCCATCGGCGATCCAGGACTAGGCCAAGATACCTCATTGTCGGCTTGACGTCGACTCGGACGCCGCACACTATTATGTGGGCGTCCGCAGGTGGCGCATTCCGGGGCCCATAGAAACATAGGGCTTCGGATTTATTAAGCGCCACCTCTAGCCCCAGTCGCCGAATGCGTCCCACCACGTGCGCCACACTCGCGGTGGCGAGAATAGCCGCTCGGTGAAAATTGGCACCGTGGACGGTGACAAGGGTGTCGTCAGCATAACAAGTTACCTCGACACCCCTGAGGTAGGCACCGCACAGCACCCAATCGTAGCCTACGTTCCACAGGAGTGGCCCTAACACCGACCCCTGTGGAGGATTGCATGTTAGATTAACCTTTAAAGCACCTTTGTGTGCGTGAAGTTGTGAATTTTCCCAATTGGGACGTTTTGAACGATTCACTCCTGGCGTGTTAACAACATATTTGCAGTATTGAGTATAAGAATCATTGGTTAAAATTTAAAATAAATTGTTTCTTTTGTATGAACATGTATGAATAAAATTGACATTACATGAAAGAATCAGCCACAAGCGTTCTAGCTTTCAGCGTAGGATTAGCATTCAGAGAATGTTAATCCAACAATAAATCAAAGAATCTTGCCAGCCTACCAAGATAAAAATTACACAAGACGCATTAGTGCAGTAGTTGAAGACCAGCGCTATAGCTTGTTCATTCGACGTCCAACCGAAGTAAAAATACAATGCGAACTGATTGAGTATACAATTGTGTCTGGAAGCTACTAAGCTACAATTCTGCACAGTTCATACGAACCCAGGAAGTTTTCATTGTAAATACCAGCGATGATGTCAAAGTACAACCTCTTAAAATAAAGGTAAACCCGAAAAGGTATAACAAAGATGATAACGTTAATACCCAACAACTCTAAAGTACATACCGTCAACTAAAAAAAAAAATACATGACATTGAACAAAAGATCATGGTATAGCATCCGACAGAAACAACTTGTGCTGACACAATATTGCCGTTTTACATGGCCCTAACCATTGTAGCTGTCATTACCATAATCATCGCTATTCGAGGTGAGCCAAAAGTATCCACGCAAAATCAGGTTCATCTCGATTCAGGTACCGAGAAGACTAGGACTTAGGGGTCTACTCTTAAAGATGTCTAGCAACATTTTCGCTAAATGTTCTCTAGTTTCTGTTCTGAGGGAGCTGAATAGAAATGCAGAGGAGCATTTCTCCCATTGTTCAACGGATCAAATATCAACTTCGATTCGACATTGACGTCATTATCGAAATTGTAATTTTAGGTCTGTGTCGGTGTTTCTTCTTCTTCTTCTTCTTTTTATTAATGGCTTGCTTTGTGAGTTATCACAATTACGCCAATGTCAAGTTGTTCTTAAAATTCTCAATTTTATAATATTCACATTAAAATTGTAATAGGCAAATAAAAACTTCAAAAAACCTTTAGCGGTGTTTCTTCATTTATTCTATTTTCGGTACTCAAATCGACAGGACTTACCTTTCATTATAATTATAGAATAAATAATTATTATTTCGCTTTTGTAAACCCTTTTAATAATGTATTATAAAAGAAATTTGTTTTTTTTTACAACCACCGTATGTTTAAATAATAGTTTACTGTATCAGAAACCTTGACGCGTTATTATATATAATATAATCAAAGGTATCTGTACCTGAACCCGGCCACGCTTCGCCGGGCATTGTTTCGTGTCCGTTTGAATTTCAGAATAAAAAGTATTTAAAAATACTCTGCTGTTCAATAGCTATATTGTGAACAATAAAAAAAAACGGTATTAGTTTCTTTAAGTTTCCGGGTGTTTATCAACGTAAAAAAAATGTAATTAGGAACAGAAAAATCATTAATAAAATACTCACCAAGCAGAATTTGGCGGTCGCTTATAGTTTTCGAGAAAATAAATTATTTAAAACGTAATTTTCAGTACGAAAGTTCACCATTTTTTACCAATTTGACTTCAAAAACTGAATACACAGTACCGCCAACATGAAAAATATAGGAAGTGGGCGAAGATTAATTTTCTTTTAATTTTAAGAGTGACAGATCCGACACAGAGCGATCCGACTCGGATAGGTTAGGTTAGAAGGTTAAGGCCTTCGATGTTAGGTTTTTTTTATGACCACCCAGAAAACTTTAGTGTAACAGTACTTTTAGTATTTTTAAAGACTCTTTTTTAATAATGCGAAGGTTATAATTTGGAAAAGTGTGTGAATTCGTAAATTTATACATGTCAAACACAAAATGGCGGATTAATTTAGTGAAAATAACAAGTTTTAAATATATTTTTTTTCTCGAAAACTATAAGCGACCGCCAAATTCTGATTGTTGATTATTTCATTAGTGATTTTTCTTAACCGAATAAACTTTTTGTTTGGTCGAAAACACCCGGAAACTTAAGGAAATTTTTACCAAAAAAAAAAAAAAAAAAAACTTGTCACATGTGTAGAAAACATTAAAATTCGTTGTCAGTGTCACATGTCAACTAGCAACAACACTCAACAGTCAACAGTATCAGCACACGTAAACGTAGTGATTACATTCTCTTTGAGTATCAGTAATGTCATTGTCATGATTTATCGTATGAAATCAAGTAGAGTATATTAAATGGATTGTACAAATTTCAAAGAAATTGATTCCCAAATATTAGTTGAGAATGTTTCTTTTCTTGACAACTGTTTTAATAATTCCTTTACAATCCACAACTCGTTAATATCCGTAAAGGACTATATTGCAGACACACATAGTACAGGAGACAAAGGTTTAAAAAAGATCTCTAAAAGATTACCTTTGTCTCGTAACTCTTTGCATAATTCTTTAAATTTGTCACTGACTACTCAAGAAGTTGTTTCCGAAAAGAAGGAAGAATTAAAAAATATAAGAGACCTAAGAAAATGGGGCTTGCCACAAGAAATAGTTAACAAATACAAGCTAAGAGGAATTACTGAAATGTTTCAATGGCAAGTATCCTGTCTTAGTAAGGCAGAGGTACTGTTGGATTACCGTAATTTAGTATATTCTGCACCCACATCTGCAGGTAAAACACTGGTGGCAGAAATTCTCGCAATAAAAACAATTTTGGAAAGACAAAAGAAAGTACTTATTATTTTGCCTTTTGTTTCTATTGTAAGAGAGAAAATGCGTTATTTACAAGATATACTGTCAAGTTCTGGAATAAGAGTAGAAGGTTTTATGGGCTCGCAAACTCCACCTGGCGGTCTACAAGCTGTCCATGTCGCTATTTGCACAATAGAAAAAGCAAATAGTTTAGTTAATCGGCTTCTTGATGAAGGGAATATTTCAGAATTAGGTGCAGTTGTGGTTGATGAATTGCATCTTTTGGGGGATTCTAATAGAGGATATATATTAGAGCTGCTGTTAACTAAGATTAAGTATATATCTTTAAAAACAAACAATGTTAAGATTCAGATTATTGGGATGTCTGCTACATTGCCTAATCTTGAGGTGCTAGCATCATGGTTAGATGCCGATTTATTTGTTACTGATTTTCGACCTATTCCTTTAGAAGAATATTGCTTAGTGGGAAACAAATTTTATGATAAACATGGTCAATACCTCAGGTCTCTCAATAAAGATATTAGCACTGAAAGGGATAATGAAGGTGTAATAGGTATATGCTTAGAAACCATTAAAGGTGGATGTTCTATTTTAATTTTCTGCATGACAAAAAATAGATGTGAAAACCTGGCACAAGGAATTGCCTCAACATTTTTTAAGTTGGGTTGTACTGAAAATGAAATGGGTAAGGTATTGAGAGATCAGTTAAAGTCCGAAAATATTATTGAAGTTTTGGAACAACTGAAGAATTGTCCTGTTGGATTAGATGGTATTCTGAAAAATATTGTGTCTTTTGGTGTTGCTTACCATCATGCAGGCCTTACTTTGGATGAAAGAGATATTATTGAAGGTGCATTTAAATCTGGAGCTATAAGAGTTTTAGTAGCAACATCAACATTAAGTTCAGGTGTTAATCTACCTGCTAGAAAGGTTATAATAAGAACACCTGTATTTCAAAAGCAACCCATAAATATTTTAACATATAAACAAATGATTGGTAGAGCTGGCAGAATGGGTAAAGATGTAAAAGGGGAAAGTGTACTTATCTGTACAGAAGCTGAGAAAAAATTAGGTCTAGAACTAATGGCAGGTATATTAGAACCTGTTAGAAGTTGCATAGAAAGTGAAGACAGGTATATGAGAGCAGTACTTGAAATTATTGCTAGCCAAGAAGCATGCTCTAAGGCTGAACTGGATTTGTATTCAAAATGTACATTATTATTCAATCAAGAGGAAAATTCGCACTCACAAATATTATTATTAGAGAATACATTAGACCATTTAAAAAATTATGAATTAATCCGGGTACAGAATGTTGATGATGAGGAACAATATGTGGCAACTTCTTTAGGTAAAGCTTGCCTATCATCATCTATGGCCCCAAATGATGGATTGTCACTATTCTGTGAACTACAGAAAGCTAGACAATGTATGGTACTAGAAAATGACCTACATCTTATTTACTTAGTGACACCTTACAGTGTCAGCAGTCAATGGAATGACATTGACTGGTTACACTTATTAACTTTATGGGAGTCTTTAACAAGAGCTATGAAAAAAGTGGGTGAATTGGTTGGTATTCAAGAAAGTTTTATTGTGCAACGCTTAAGAGGGAGTAATAAGATGAAAGTGAGCCAGAATAAATTAAATATTCACAAAAGGTTAAAAGACCTTTACTTTTCCAATAGATTATGAAAACCTGATTCATATATTAATTTTGTGTTTTTGTTTTAGGTTTTATACTGCATTAGCGTTGCAAGATTTAGTAAATGAAGTGCCTTTGTCTGAAGTTGCTAAAAAGTTTCAGTGTGCCAGAGGTTTTTTGCAAGGCTTACAACAAGCAGCTGCAACATTTGCTGGTACATAATATAATACGTTTGATTCTTAAATTTCTGTCATATTAACAAAAAAATGTTAAGGACTCTTGTTTCAGGTATGGTGACTGCTTTTTGCCGTCAACTGGGGTGGAAGAATATGGAATTGATTATTTCCCAATTCCAGGATCGTCTTCATTTCGGCATACATTCAGAATTAATTGAGTTAATGAAATTATCTTCTCTAAATGGAATAAGAGCTAGGGCTTTATTCGATGGGGGGTTAGAAACCATATCTGATGTTGCATCTGCAGACGTTAATATTATCGAAAACATCCTTTTAAAGGCCGTCCCATTCCAAAGTGAAAAAGAAAGAGAAGTTGATGATGAGGATGATATAAGAAAACGTAATAAAATTAAGAATATTTGGATTACCGGAAATTGTGGTATGACTGCAAATGAAGCTGCTAAAAATTTAATATATGAAGCGAGAAAATTCCTTCAACTAGAGATTGGTGTCACCGAAATAAAATGGAAAGAGCTGAAGGTCGCGAAGGCTTCCGACGATGTTTTAGACGTAAATTCAAATGCAAAACAAGAAGTCCATGAAAAACATAGTTATTATAATGAACAGCTTTTTGCAGAACATGCATTGACAAATAAATTAGAACAAAAGTCTTTAATTACAACTGAAGAAGTAAATAGTCTTAAGATCGATAATAATATAAGTAAACTAGAAAAAAATGTTCTAGTAAGGAGTAATTTAATAAATAGCCAAAATCAATCAAAGATAGATGACGAAATTAGTCAAAACGAAGATAAAAATTATAATGAAATAAAAGTTAAAACGAAAGAAAGTCCATTAATTAACAACATCGCGATGTTTATTAACGACAACCCATCGATATCAAATAAAAACGATATTGTATGGGAGTCTCTTAACTTCACAACCGCATTGGACAATATTTCTAAAGTTCGTGTATCAGACAGAATAAATTCGCCTGAGATCAGTTTTGGTGAAAATCAACATAATATATCTCTAGATGTTGACGATGGTACGTCACTAGATAAAGCTACTGTCAGAGACCTTAGCCTATTTTCTTCAGATGAAAACGATTCCATTGTATTCGATGAAACTTTACCGATTGACCTTTTGCCAAACACAATGGACTGTAATCGTGAGCAATTGCTGTATAGTAGAGACGTTAGTATTCATAATGTTACCATTGATGCTCAGTCTATTTTAAATGCATTCACATCTTCCCTCGCAGTAAATGAAGATGATGAAGATATTAAATTAGTTTACGAAGAAGACAAGAAAGAGGATAAGCCTAGCGTTTTGAATACGTCTCAAGATATCGAGATTATAAATTCGCAAAAAGTAATTAGAGCATTGAATACAAACTACAAGAGCCCTCTTAAGAGACAAAGAGGGAAAAAGAATTCGTCATTTCAGCCGTTATCGAAAAAAATAAAAGTTAACTCGAAGTTACATTTTTTAGCAACCTTAAAAAGTAAACAATCAAAATATTCAAATATCGAAATTCAGGGAAAACTTATACATTGCTATGTTTTAAGAGAAAAAGACTTAATACAATGTTCTGAGTCTATTCAAAGCAATGAAGAGGCTTCTATATACTTTGATGTAAGTCAACCTGGAGCTCCTACAGATATAATAGGGAGTAATATAATAAAAAAGCCTGTCGGACAATGTATGAACTCGGTTCCTAACACCAAATACCTAGTTAAGGGCATCGCTATATGTTTAAGTGAAGACCTATGTGTTTACTTTGATTTTCGTTCTATCCATGCTAAGAGCGTCAAAGAAAACCTGGGGCGGTGGCTGGGAAAGGAATCATTAAGCTTGAAGATGTTGTCCTTGAAAGCTTCGTACCCTTATTTCAAATCGTGTTTCGATTCTCATCCAGCATCACGTTGTGCGGACTTGTTGCTGTCAGAGTGGCTTATTCAAAGTGATGAGAAGACATATGATATTTATCACTTGGCAAGTAGTTTTTAATAGACCGCTTTCTTCATGTCCCTTTTTTCAACCCCATTTTTCTATTACTGTGCGAAAACAAGTAACTGTCTGTTTGGTGACACAAAGTTTTGCTGAAAAAACGTGGTATTTATGTTGTTGAATGAAATGGGCTTGTTCTACCGGAGCATCACCATCCGTCTTAACTGCCTCACAGAAGACTAGGGTAAAGTTGAAGTATTATTAGTAGTTGAATATTATCCTTTTACGATCCATTGCGTCGGTGAACTGACTTGAGACAACTTTTGTCTTTTGTATAACGTTGCCAGTTTATCTATACCGTTGTTTTATGCATGGACCGACATCCATGGGGCAGAGGTAAGTAAAGTAAAGTAACAGTCTATACATGTCCCACTGCTGGGCAAAGGCCTCCTCTATACAGAGGGTATTAGGGCATAGTCCACCATGCGGCCCCACTGCGGATTGGCGGACTTCACATATTTTCGAAATATATATATATATATATATATATATATATATATTTTTTTGTTATTATTTCGAAAATATGCAGGTTTCCTCACGATGTTTTCCTTCACCGCGGAGCACGTGATAAGTCAGCACTTAAAGTTAAAAACTTCATTGGTGCCGGCACCGGGGATCGAACAGAGCAGAGGTAATCAGTTAATATTAGTTGGCGTTAACTGCCTGTTTGGCAAATTAAGAAAGTTATAAAAAGTCAACGTCGTAAAAATTAATGAATTAAAAATACCTAAGGTTAAGTAATTTTGTTTGGTAGTATCCACGTTTTAAATGGTATAGTGTAAGCCGAACTCGCAACGAAGGGTTCCGTACTATAAAAATGGCAAAAAATTATGTCTGTTGTATGGGAGCCCTATATAAATATTTTTTATTCTGTTTTTAGTTTGTTGTTATAGCAGCGACAGAAATACATCATCTGTGAAAATTTCAACTGTCTTACTATCACGGTTCATGAGATACAGCACGGTAACGGACAACCAGACGGACAGACAGACAGACAACGGAGTCTTAGTAATAGGGTCCCGTTTCACCCTTTGGGTACGGAACCCTAAAAACGTCGATTATAGGTAGTTTTAGTAAAGCAACAATGTTTTCACGACAAACTTTCTGCCATTTTATTTTTACACTGCCACAAACTTTTTCTCAACTAAAAAGTATATTGTAAATATATGTTGTTTTTTAGATGAAAAAGTATTGCGATATAGATTTGTGTGCCGCGCCGATTAAGATTGGAAATATGGTAACGGAGCTGAAGAAGATAGACTCCGTTGAAATCATGTTGTTAAAAGCTTGGTGCGTGTGGTCGGTGGCTGAGAAGCAACAAAGGCACTTGTTGCAACAATACCAAGATATAAACGATGTAGTCCGTAAGTATCTATTGCATTTATCCATGTATTAAGGCGCTGTATGCAGTGAAGTTTTAACTATTTGGGTGGTGAAGTATGAGGAAGCGGAGGAGGGGTAACGCCGCTTAGCGGCGTGCAGCGCGCAATTTTCGTCGACGCGCCGCTAGTCCAAGTCATTCTTAACCTGGTGTGTGTGTAGTGATGGGCCGTATGGAAGGCTTTCGAAAATGTACACATATGATCCCTATAATATCTTTTATAGACCATGATTGTATTTTACTTTTCATTTATAATAGGAGTAATAATAAACAAACAAATATAAAGTATGAGAAAGCAATCAACAATTTTAGAAAATCTTCTTCCTGTTTGTTATTATTTTTTTAATTAAATGGAAAAGGAATTGATCAAAAATAAATTAATAAAGGCAAATTACTTATAATTATTATTTTTTGTTTTTATGGTTTATATTGTGATTTTAAAAAAATGGCTCTTAAAATTTTTGTACGAATACAACTTTTTTATTACATTTTTTTATATATTAGGAATTTTAATTTATCATTTAAATTTTCAAGACTTACTATGTTATATTACTTTTTCAACTAAAATGAAATTTAAAAAACTATCGATAAAATCCTTATTTGTATCGATAAACGACAGCAATTATAACTAGAATCGAAATTTTGTCACTCTGCACAGACCTCGCGTAGCCTGTTGGTCCGAGCGTCATACACAACGGTAAACTATTGCTGTAGTCCCAAGTTCGAACCACTCATCGAGTGGAGGTGTATTTTTTATATTATTTTCACTTTTAATTTGTTAGCCAACCAATTATTTTATAAAATGGCTTAATTTGGGAAATAAACAAATAATAAAAAAAAAATATAAAATAATTATTTATGGTGTATAAGATAAATTTTCGTTTTAGGGTGAACAATTAAATAAATCAATAAAAAAATAGATGACGTTAAAAAAATATAATACTAAAAGTTGGTTTATTTACTGATAGATTGTACTCCAACTGTTTCAACTTTGAACAAATACAATAATATTTCGTTGTAATTATTTATGAAAATAAAAAAATCAACAATAATTATATGGTAATTTAGAAATACTTCCAAATAAGAAAATCAACAATAAGTACAACAAAAAATTTTGGGATTTGAACCCAATCCATAAAGAATGATTTATTTTATATAATGTTTATGTATTGAAATTTATATGTATTTAATGATTATATGTAAAGTATTTTTCTTTGAGTAAAGTATATTTCTATAGAATGTACCTTTCCTTTTTTTGTTTTCTTTTATTTATTTTTCTTTAATTTATTTCGCGTATTTTGTTTTGCACCTGCGTCAAACTTTCTCTACTCCCAGGGTTGACTGGAAGAGAATGCTTAATAAGCATTCTCTTCCAGTCCACCCTGGGAGCATTAAGTTTGCCTTTTGTTTAGCCTTAAGTTGAGGTGTAAACAATAAATTTTTAAATAAAAATAAATAAATAAATGATTGTCCTATACACTGTATGTATAGGACAGATAGACCAATCAATCATGAGATAAGACATTGAAATTATGCTTTAAATAAATAAATTAACAACTGTTAATGCATACAAATAATTTATAAATACGAAATATGTGAATATATATTCGGTTTCATTTAGTTTCGTGTTTTCGAAGGTCTAATAAAATTAAAACTCTCAATAATAAATAAATACGAAACATATTTCGTAACGGTGATCGGGCGATGAGCGGTATAGGTCCATCTAGCAAGGCGCCTCAGCGCTCTCTGTTCAACGTGTGGAGTTGGAAGAGAACCGAAACAACGCCGCGGTGGTGTGGTGTTTTGACCATCGCGTTTGAATTAATTTTAATGAATTAAATTAATATTTACAAATATCTTACTTCAATCAACAAATTAAGACAACAGTCCTTTTTATTAATATATTCTACACTACTGGTATTAGTTTCATTAAGATTTGTTCATTTATTATATCTATTTTTTTATTTGAATTTCACGTTTAAAGGTTGGTTCGTGATTTTTTTCTATGGAGAAAATATATCGAGAATGTTTTGAAAACAATGGTCCATTAGAATGTACGATCAAGATTAACATAATTATATTTTTTTTGCTTCTATAAAATGTATAGATTTTGTTAAAAAATTGTTTGAAAAACCTATTTTTACTGCATACAGCGCCTTAATAAAAAAAAGTCATTAGTTTGTTCGAAATAAAAAAAAATATTTTTTTATTTTTTTTATAAGGAATTTTTGAAGTTGGTTATATTTGACTTAGTTTTAGAGTTTTATTGACTTAGATATTGGTTTTTTTATTGCTTGATGATATTTGCTTCGCGAAATTTACGGCTGAAACCGCCTAAAGTTACAATTTAAGTAAATTACACACACTCTTATAACTTATACACTTACGTTTATATGGTGGCTGGCGGTTTGTGGTACTTATAAAAAAGTTTAACAAAACTGGAATTCTGTAGTGGACGATTTTATACATTCAACAATAGACTGTGGCAAATATAACAGGGAAACAAAGAAAGGTTTATGCCTCATCGGTATTTAGATAGTGCTGTAAATTTTAATATTCCCTGCTCTTTGTCGAGGCGAGGGAGTTCAGCCAGCGTGCTGCATATCAATGTGCTTCGGGCGCGTTAGTAAATTTATTAAAACGTACCAATATTGCAAATATTGGTATTCATGGTATTGCAATACAATTGTATGTAATTATAAGTTATGATGTTTATTATTCGAAAGGTAAAGCCCGCGGTTATTTATAACTGTTTCGTGTTTTATTTTTAGGATATCTCGTTATCGCTTATATCGTTTATACTATGCGTTATTAGAATGAATTAACCTGAATGATTTATGTTCTCTGAAAAATATGTACTGTAGTAAATTGTATTCGATTTATATCGTAAGAAGTTAAAAACCGTGTTGGTGCGTATGTAAAAATATTGTTTTTATACACCTAATACTTATGCGTTTACTCTTGTATTAATATTTGAAACTCTAAATATCCAAAAAAAGTCAAAACTTTCATGAATTAATTTCCGTTAAATAATGGCTGCCGTTTTTATGTTTGAGTTGTAATGACAATTCGTATTTTGTGTAATTTTTATGTAATTTTTTTAAATCTAAATTTAAGCAATTTTTTTGTAAATTAGAAAAAAAAAACTGCTGTATTGATTAACGAAATATTATATGCAGTCGCTGTCCAGATTGCTTATCAACACTTATACGGATCTATTATTATCGTTATATTGCTCATAAACAAACTTGAAAGTCAATATAATACGTGAAACTCAAGCAAATCGGCTAATAGATGCCGCCATTTCGCAGGCGTAGAAACGCACGTGTCGAGGATCCTTGCAGATTGCGAATCCAATGGCCTGCTCGTCGACAGGCAGCTTGCGTCACAACTTTTGATCGATGTGAGAAATTCTCAAGAGATCCTTCAGAAGAAAGCGTACAAACTGTGCGGATACCATTTCAACTTCAACTCCCCGAAAGACGTGGCGAAGGTGATGAATTATGTCATTCAATAGATTAACGCCAGGTTTCTGAAACACTGATCATCGTATAAGTCAACCAACCGGCTGTCAAATGGCAAGTTGCACTCTCTGAATTGATCAGAATGATCTTTTTAATTATCCGAATGACCAATTCAAAGAGTAACGATCCTTTTGCCAACTCAAATAACATTTGGAAAGCCATTTGACAGCTGATTAGTCAACTTCTAGGATGATTAGTGTTTCAGAAACCGGACGTTAGTTGCGTATTTTAATCGTTTGTTAAGTTTCGTAACTGTGGGTTAAATTATGGCATACATGTAATAAAATATTAAGACTATTTCGTATTCAAAATTTTTTTTTGAAGCCGTTTACTTTTTACAACCTGTTGCTTAATAGGAAAACAAGAGACAATTTCTGCATTATAATTTCTCAAATGTTCAATAAAATAATTAAATAAATTTAAATTAATGTTTTCGTAGAAAAATTAGAAGGTCACATCTGTTGACAATATGTTTATATTAACACTGGCATAGATCGACAAGCAACGTTTCAACAAAAATAAAGAAAATATACATTTTAACAAAATGGGCCCCGGTTACCTCACTCACCATACGAAATGCAGAAGTAACACTTCCACTTGACACCGGTCTTCTGTGAGGTCGTGATACTTCCCTGATCATTCGTGCAACACTGAAGACTGTTGCTGAGGCCTCAGTAGAGGGTACTAATAACTAAATTAAAACCGAGCAACCGGGCACAGTGCTATCACTGCTTTTGATATTATTAATTGTCGCTGTAGTTAGTACTGTACAGGCGTATTTTTCAGGTGCTAGGGATGTACAAAGGCCGGAAAGTGAGCACGAAGAAAAGCGTATTGACAGCTCACAACAGCCCAATGGCTAGCGTTGTTATATATTGGAGGAAATTGAATGCAATACTTACGAAAACCCTGTACCCGCTGACGGAGAGGGCAAGCGTTTACAATACAGATAACAGGTCAGTTTCTAAAAACAATTCGCCATTTGTCAATGTACGCCGACTTACACAATAACTATCTATAGGCGCGTCATACCATAGCGCTGGCAAGAGGGTGAAAGGGGGCGCACTTGCACCACCCCTGTCGGGGTAGAAAATACATATAAAAGTTTTTTTTTTATTAAGTTCTTGGTGTTTATTAAAAAACTTAAGCGTCACAGGTTGCTGTCCAAATCTGTTCATCGCCTAACTACTCTTTTCCTGTGAACCCATCTTTGTCCGATTTCAAATTTTGACACGTATCGTTCTACGAACGTACGTACGTTCAATGTTACATGTTGTTGTTGGGATAGTTAGTCAACTTTAATTCCCTCTCATACTTAATGTAGACTAAGGCTAAACAAACTTTTGACACTTAAGGCAAGGAGGAACTATAAACTGTCCTTGCGGACCGCAATGCACTGCAGGCCGAAATTACTCTACATTGAGGAGATTACTTTACACAGAGGTCACTTCGCTGGGTAGGCCGACCACCTTTCGTAATTTTTTAAATTATACGTTTTACTAAGTTTCCAAGGACGTCTTAGTAATTTGGAATGTAGATCATAATAGAATTTATAATTAAGGTCTAAATTCAATACAAATTTTAAATAATAAATGTAATTACAATGAATATAATTATTAATAATTTTTATTTTATTATTTAATAGTAGTGTAAATGCATCTCCCTGAAAGGATTCCTGGCGGCACCCATGCATCATACGCTAGATTTATTGCACTAATAAAACCGTAAATTATTGTGAATAGTACACTAACAACACATAGTAGGCGGGGAGTGAGTTATTTATACTTACATTAAAGCCGTCATACGCTATTCCTGCGTTTACAGAGAGTTAGAAAATAATTGTTTTATATGTGTTAAGTGTAGGTTAAATACCTCGCTTACTTATTGCACAAAACAGAGGTAACAACGCAGCTGCACTTGTGTAGAAACTATTTATTTTGCTTTAATTGTATATACATTTAAATTTTCTTTCATTTTGATTTGTCTTTGCTGTCATTATCACAGTTGAAACGTATTGTTTTTTTGCTGCTCAGTGTAATAAAGAAGATAGATGAAAAAGATAAAAGAGATTAAATTAAATTTAACAATGAAAAGCTATATAAAGTTAAGTTTTCAATTTGTTTTTTGATCGCTTTTTATCTACAAACAACTCGATTTAGTCGCTAAGTTAGTTCCGCGATATTTAACTTAATCTGATCCACAATAATTGTAGCTACCGTGTTTGTAGCTTCGAATGCTTTAAAAATCCAATTCTATTTAAACACTTCAAAAGTTTGCGCATCACAAAAACATAGCTCAAGTATACAAAGGCTTGTCGCAAAACCGGCGACAAAATTAAATGCTTGTTGTTTCTCTGTTCCGAAATTCATTTTTCATCTCGCCCACCTTTCTAAACAAGATAATATAACACTTGTATCTACATATACGCTTGCAACACTGGAGTGGCGGCAGGCGAGTGATGAATGCGACATTGTTTCCAGAATAAACCCCTCCTACACAATGCAGACTGGCACCGGTCGCATAACTATGCGGGAGCCGAACCTACAGAACGTACCAAGAACTTTCTCCGTACCAGTCAAATATCTGACGCTGACGAGCGAAAATGACCTCTGTGCCGACACGATAGAGTTCAACTGCAGGGACGCGTTCAAGGCAGCGCCGGGCTGCGTTTTTGTTTCGGCGGATTATTGTCAGTTGGAAATGAGGATACTCACACACTACAGCGGTGACCCTGTTTTAACGGATATCATGAGGTCTGATGTCGATGTATTCAAAGCCATTGCCGCTTCATGGAGCTGCGTATCAGAGGAAGAGGTGGAAAGTTTATTGCACTTTATGTTTTGAAATGAAACGATGTTTTGTATATTGTGACATTTTTTTACGAAGCTGCTTTTCGATGTTTCGGATACTTGCGGCATTTCTGTTGAGCAGGCTTACCTGTTACTATAAAATGCGATAAATTTCGTAAAAGTAATTTCTGGTCGATCGTTTTTTTATATTTGAGAAGATGGCAAGCGAGCTAGTGGTTCATTTGATGGTAAGTGACAACTATCACCCATGGACATTTGCAAAAATGCAATTGCATTTTTCATAGTCACTTTTTCTTTCAAAGTGTTCCACCACATTGAACTTCGTAACAACGGCAATTCGTTTAGCAAGATGTCCCAATCGCCAAATTCCTTACGATTTTTTTCTTTTATCGCTAAAACAACTAATTCTGAATTACGAACGAATTGTTTTTATTATTGTGTATCACGAAAATAGTTTCTTCAAGAGTAGTTTCCAAAGGTGTGAATATCCGAATATAATTTAATCAAGTTTGAATTAATTTTAAAATTCATTTGTTTATCTGTGCATATTAACTTATAAGGTCCGCCTATGTCCGTATACTTAGGTCGACGACGATCTGCGCCAGAAAGCGAAACAGCTCTGCTACGGAATATTGTACGGAATGGGCAACAGGACGTTGAGTCAGCACTTGGACGTGACGGAGGCCGAGGCGGCTGTCTTCATGGACTCCTTCTACAAGACTTACCCGGCCGTAAAGGTGTTCACACACTCTATCGTAGACACGTGCCGACGGCAAGGCTACGTGGAGACGCTCAGGAAACGGCGCAGATATCTGCCGGACATCAATAGCACTTTGGCTTTCAAAAGGTGTAAGTGTAACATCGTTTTTTAAAGTAATTCTTTCGGTGCCTTCTCACTAAATGTTTCTTCGTTTTACGCTACGAAATTTTTTATTCACGCGGTGTTAATCGACCGTTTAGTTTAGTGGCTGGCGTCTGGTCTCTGAATTCTTAATCACTGGTGCTGTTTCGGATCCTGACGGCGGCGAAAAACGTTGCTACACTTTTATCTACAAACTAGCGACCCGCCCCGACTTCGTACGGGTGCAATGTAGATATTGAATTTCTCGGATTTTCTCTAATATAATATGCATTCATACTACATATAAACCTTCTGCTTGAATCACTCTATCTATTGCTGGAAACCGCATTAAAATCCGTTGCGCAGTTTATAAGACTTAAGCGTACAAACATCAGGATCGACTTTGTTTTATAGTATGTAAAGATTCTTAAGATTCATCTCAGTTCAAAGTCTAGTGTTGAAAGTTTAAAATTAAATTTCAATATCAAAGGTGACATCTCTAGCTTTCAAATATTCATTGTAAAAATGTAATTTGAGAAAGTGTGATTGCTTTAAAGGAATTCTCAAACGGGGGATATCGGCCCCTTGGGGTTGAAATTGGTTTTCTACGGGTCGACATAGATGAAAACTGATTCTGTGGGTCGACGAGGTCTAAAAAGCGGCACCCATATATAATACAAGTTTTTATTTGAAACTTGAAGATAGTGTACTGTATAACTTATGTTACGTGTATCGACTTGTTATAAGAATGACTAATATTTTAGTAGGAAGTATCATTGTTTTACTTATGAAAAACTAGAGATAGGATATATAAAGAAATTTGGCTATGGGGTCTGATTGTATCATTTCATTATGGAAAAGGGTTATCTTGCCCAAAACAGTTTGGCAATCCCTGCTGTAAAGGAATCACATTAGCTTTGCTAGCACAAAGCTTGGTGGTTGGGTGTCTGGACGCGTAATCTGGTAAGCGCAGGTTTGAATCCTCGCAACGGCGAAAATTTTAAGTATACTATATAATATTTTAAGTGTTATCTTAGCTGCAGAGACTATAGAACTAAAATTAGAAGTTAATCATTCTTCATTGTTTACCTTCAACCGCAGAGCACGTGACAATTAAAATTGACAATGTCATCGGTGCCGCCACTGGATTTTGAACGAGTTGCTTGATTATATAAAAAAAAAATAAAAAAAGAACAAGACCGCATAGTTTCTTGCCGGTTCTTCTCTGTGCAGGTCTACTTTAGTGAACCGGTGGTAGATTTTTTGTTGACGTTCGATAAGAGCTTAAGTTAGGCCTATATTGAATAAATATACTTTGACTTATGTTCAACTAAAAGCGAGCACCCGGACACTGAACTATCACGGCTCAGTCTAGTAATACAAAATATTCAAAAACCATTTCAAACTCAGGTGCCGCCGAGCGGCAAGCGGTGAATACGACTATCCAGGGTTCGGCTGCGGACATCGCGAAAGCCGCCATGTGCGCTGTAGATGACGCGACGCGAATCGAACGTTTCAAACCGCGCCTCGTCCTCCAAATGCATGACGAGCTGATATACGAAGTGGATGAAAGCTACTGCCGCGAGTTCGCCAAAGTTCTGAAGCGGCTAATGGAGGAGACGGTCCGCTTGGACGTGCCTTTGCCGGTCAAGGTTAAATCCGGACCCTCCTGGGGCTGTCTTAATGAAATTGCCGTCGTGTGAACTAATCATGGACAATCGTCAGTTATACTGCGTTCTGTGATATTGTGGAGTTTATTGCTTTTATATAGTAAATCGTCATTTTTGTTTAATGTATTTTGATAAATAAATATTGTATCAGGAGAATTTTGTTTGAATTACACTGAGTAATAGAGTAAGAACAGAGGCATACCGACGAAACATTTTCATTTTCTAATTGTGCTCATTACAGCTAAAGAGAGGAAAGAAGATACCAGAAGTGTCTATTAATAATTTGGTTGGTTTTATGTTAACATTACTTCCAATTTACAAAAGAGAGAAAATACGGAATGCTTATAAAAGATCCGAAAAGTTGTCAAGCGCGCGGACGGTTCACCTGATATTAAATGAATACCACCGCCCATTGACATATACAACATTCGACGGCTTGTTAATGCGTTGACAAACTTTAAAAATATGGGCCCCGATTCCCTCATTTACCAGAGGACATGCGAAAGGGTAATACTTCCCCTTCACGCCAGTCTTCTGTGAGGCCGTGGTACTTCCCCGGACGAGCCTGCCCATTCGTGCAACAGCGCAAGCTGTTTAATTATTATACTTATTATTTATAATATTTTCTGTACTTATTTTGTATTTATAATTTGAGAAGAAGTGTGTGGCCGAATTAATCGTTTCGTTGATCGTATCTCCAAATTACAGGACATAAAACACTTGTTATAAATATACAAGTACTACGATGTCTGAAGCTTTTCAAGATAATTAATATGATAACTAGATATCGACTTCCAGTACCCATACCTACAAATATCCATATCTACTTATAAAGTAATAAATTCACATACAATGTGAATCAATACCAGATCATTACAATGTACAAAATGTAAATTCTAAATGAACGCTTGTCAAATACACTGATTTTCAGGCCGTCTGTTCTATTTCAGTCGCCCGTCGACGATGTTAATTTGAAATGCCGCTACATTATAATGTACGAGATAATATTGAATACAGACGTTCATTAAGTAATGGGGTTCTTTGAATGAATACGAAATGTTGTTTAGACGACGCACTTAAATAGGTTTTCTTTATATTTGTTTATTTTAAAAAATATTCATAAATAAAGATGTTGACTGTCATTTAATATATGAAGACTCATAAATTGGGTTACGTACATAGTACATAGTATATAAATTTGTAATATGTTTATGGGTGGAAGGAAAAGTAACATCCACGGAGATCTACAATGACAGGTAAAAATCGTTATAGGAATCCGCTTGGTATATGAACCTTTTCTAAAAAGTGGGTGGTAAGATTAATTAAAGATGGCCAACAAAGTCTATGACTGAAGAAAACATCGGCAAAGTGTGGTTGCGGATGAAATATTACTAGACCGCAGTTGGAGTGTCCATGAGTTTTCTTGCAAGTGTTTCTGCTCGGTGGGTGTCCAGATGGCTTTTAATGTAACAAAAATAATTCGGCTTACAATTTCTCGCAACTGTTTTTTTGGAGCGGATTCACAAGATTTTTTAACAAATTTATGACCATAGATGAAATTTGGATGCATGATTGTGCGGCAAGATAAAAACAACAATTCAAGCATGAGAAAAAATCTGCTGAACTGGTTTTCAAAGTCAGAATTATTGAATATATGCTAGATCTAAGCTTTTATTTTTTATTCGACATCAAAAAAACATCACCGGTTAACTAATTTAGACCTGTCTGTAGAAGAACCGGCAAGAAATGAGAAAGGTGTGTTTTGTTCTCATTTTATTTAGTGAAAATATATACGAATAAAGTACAAAATTGCTTTGGAAATTGATTGCTTTGCACCAACCAACAATCGAACAACCAAGTTCTAGGTATTACCATGGCAATCAATAACAACTTTTTGACATTTACGTATAATTTCAAGTTATAACCGTTATCAATTTGGTTTAATGTCTTTTTCACAAACAAAGAGTAGTGGAGATAATTTTTTTTGTTATTTTTCATTTGTCACGCTGAAGTATAACTTTTTGCGTGCGTACATATTGTACACACACATCTTTTTTTGTAAAAAGATGGATACTATTTATTACGTATGTACATAATTATATGATGTTCTCGATATGTACAGAAACGGGAGCGTTTATTTGCTTAAAAAGATACCGTAGCGACTCACGTAGACCCAAGCGTAGACAACCCATATCGCATGCTTTTAATTTTCTCAATACAAATACTGTGTCTTATTCGGATGCGGAACCCCAAAGTTGAATACCATGTAACATAATACTATGAAAACGAACAAAATAAATTTAGCTGTTTGTTAGCTGCCATATCTTGCGTATGGCGAAGACGACAGGGCATTTTCTTGTAATTTTTTTTTTGTGTGAATATTGTAAGGTTTGAAACTAGTAAAGATAGTAATTCAGTTTTTTGTTTTTTTTAAAGGTGGAGTATCTTGTTAAAAGCGAACGAATTTGGCGTAATACTGCACTTTTCTAAGTCGTTTACGTGAAGAAATTAAAGATACTCCAGGGTAATTGAAGAAAAGAGACAAAGCGACGTTTTATCAGGATAATGCTCGCGTTCCCGCGTCTTTTGAATCCGTGGCTCAAATTCGTTATTGTAGTTTTATATTACTGCGTCGTCTGGCTTATTTTGCTGATTTCACACGACTACGGAGTTTCATCTGATTTCAAATATAAAAAACACATTGCTGAGCAAAACATTCATGTAATGAAAAAGTCGAAGCTGCGATAAAGTACTTTTTTGAACACCTTAATATGATTCTTCTTTATGATGAACCTTAATATGATCTACTTTTGGAAAGCAGGTGAAGGAAATGTATACAGCTGATATTAAGTTGTAAAATAAAAATGTATTTTGACTAGTTTAGACTGACTAGTTTAGTTTAGTTTAGAGCTTTTCAACCCACCATAGAATGGACGTGGTGTTTTTATATCAATAAATAAATTTTGTTACTGATTAATAAGCTAGAAAATTACAACGCGAATTATCAAAAAAATAACTTTATCGATATTGAATCTTAGTCGTAATTCACGCTCTACCACAATTACTGACTCTCAACTTAATTAAAAACTTTCTTTGTCCCCCCTCCGTGATAAATTGTGAGTGATAAACTAACTTAGGACTTTGACTCTACATTAAGTAGATCAATATATGCGTGTGATAGATTTCACGAATATCCTAAAAGCAACTTAAAAAAATAAAACTTAATCAATATTGAATCTTAGGCGGAATTCACGCTCTACCACAATCACTCACTCTCAACTTAATTAAAAACTACTTTTGCCCCCTGTGATAAATTGTGAGTGATAAAAGATAGCTTATAACTTGGCCCCTACATAAAGTAGCTGTGCGCGTGATAGATTTCACGAATATTCTAAAAGCCAATTCAGTTAGGCAACATGTACATAACAATACGTGAGCCTTTGCATTTCTGCTACGATATTCACTCTCCAAGAACCGTCATAAATGCCATTGTTGGTACGACTGTTCTTTGTTACATTGAATAGACGAACGATTGTTGTGCAAAGCACCGGATAACGATCGTCATTATCCTTTTTTTTTACAAAAATGTGAAAGTAATCAGTATTTTAAGGTGAAATTATTGAACAGGAATTTACGTCTTGATATAAATATAATTGTCGCCACATTATGGATCAGCTATTTTAGACTTTAAACTCCTTTTTACGAACCATTATAGGATTTTTGGATTATTGACAAGAATTGGCTCATAGTAATGTGACTGTGATTAATTCACGAGAATATCATTATCAGTAAACAATATACGAAGAAGGGGAGCATTTGTTTTTACAAGTTTGGTTCCATGCCAAGTTCCGTAGTTTAATTTACCTGCTTTATTGCAACCAGGTAATGAATTCGGTAAATCGGAAAGATAGCAAAAAAAGACATCATTATTTAAAAACGTTACTCATTAAAATACTAGACGATATTAATTAAAGTATTGTATTTGGTACCAGCTGACATCTTGCAATCTAAGCAAATCATGTTTGATAATTATGCTATTCAATGAAGCAACAATTGGAATGAGAAGTACGCGTTTCGAGTATATTTTCTATTTGTTAAGGCCTACTCCTGGAGCTTATAATACGCGGCTCCCTAATCGAGATGGGGCGTTATCGAGATGGTTTCACGGGGAAATTCTTCGAGTCTAATCTTAGCGCCATCTCAGCGCGTTCGGTGAGGGTTTCCCGTTTTCCGTTTTCCGCGGCGACGTCAGAGGGCGCGGGGTGCGCCCCGCAGCCCTGCGCACAATCGATATCTGCGCCCCGCGCCGTGCAGAGCCTCGCTTGTCACCCTGTCACGACTCGAGCGCCCGTCGACGCACGCACGCCGCGATTACAGCACGGCCCGTCGGTGCCGTGTCGTATACCAATGAAACCTGTAATAAAATGTGCCTGCTGATAACGGCCGCAGACCGGAAAAGCGCGCAACGTCCACCCCAAGGCACAGCCAGGCATTCGCCCGCACAGCCCGAATGATGTATCAAGTCGAACAGGTGTAGAGCCGACGCGAAAATGCATCTTCACTTCGAACGGAATGTTAACGCGAAGTGCGACTGTACTATACTGTCGCTGTCTTGGATGGGGAAGGTCCCCGACGAGCTACCCGAGGTTAGTGTCTAATTTTAACTTAAGCAGTGTGACCATTTGTTAAAAACCTGTGCATGATTTGAGTATATTATCCCTTATACGTCCAACTCCTGCTTAAAGCCTCCTTTATATAAAGGGTATGGTTTAATATTTGTATAATTATAATTGTAAACGTTTGATTGTTTGTTTGCACGTGCCGTTTACTTACGTGGCTTCTTTGACGTTTTCAATTCTTAAATGTAACGTCATTAATTAATACTTTATTTATAGCTATCTAAAATCGCAGTTAAAGCCATTGTATTAATTTATGTACAAAGATTGCAGAATGTATATATAAATATATGTGTGTTACGATCAGGTTCCAGCCACGTAGACGTACCTAATACGCGGAGGCATCAATTAAATTTCCAAATGGTGTAATTTAAATATTTTGCTAATATCAATAAGCTCATGGTCACGGGATATTTTATTGATCATAAGTTTTTCTTAATGTTTGAATTGACAATATATAATAAAAAATCATAACTGGCCAATTAAATTCATGTCTGTTTTGTCACACTTAAGGTATCTATTTTACTCATGTTATCTCGATAATCCTATCGAACCAGGCGTTTTATTAAATCGCATTAAATTTCCATTATCATCGGCTTAAGTCGGAAAACATTTGATGTTGTCAAAGCAATTTAGCGGGGAGGAATTTGAGGTCGGATCGCGGGCGGACCTCGAGGTCGCGGTTGGAAATTGCTTGGTCCTATTCAATTAACCTGCTTGCACTCTTAAATCCTCTGACCCCTTGCTGACATCTCGAATCAATTTAAATTTTTCGAATGAGTTTATTTATTTAATCTTTATTGCACTTAAAACTATACAAAGGCGAGCTTAATGCTTATTCTGAAATATACAGAATGTTGAATAAAAAAGTTGTACAACTTTTTTATTAAATAAAAACAAGAGTTCTCTGATGTGAGATACATCAGAGAACTCCTCGAAGTTAAAGGTCGAATACCAATGAAGTGAATATGGGACCATATGGGAGCTATACTAAACCCAATCCAAAAATATATTTAAAAATCAGTTCATTTTTATCACTTTTTGAAAACGTTAAATCCTCTCTTTGTTTCGTTAATGTACGAAAAGTTTTCAAAAGCACATAACTGAAAAAGACTGCGAAAACGGTCATAAAAAAAATAATACAGTCGAATTGAGAACCTCCCCCTTTTTGAAGTCCGATAAAAATTGTCACTCGTTTTTGACTAACAGTTAAACATTAGTTTTCAACTAACAAGTAACTTTAATTTGGGTTTGCGTTTGTGACTGTGGAATAATGGAAGCTTCACTTCTTTGGAACAAAGTTCCCTATCGTATAGTACTGATTTGGTGGATTTGGGCGAGCAACAAAAAGTTTAAGAAATTTTCCATCATGACCCAATAGTCGTGAAAATACCATGGCATATATGTATTTTTCAGAAACAAACAGTTCTGGCACAGGAAAAACAATTTTTAGTTATTGGGAAAATATATATATTTGGAAATAATAATACATGCTTAGATCTTTAAGACTACGCAAAGGATTTTGATGCAGTTTTCTGTAATAGATAGAGTGATTCAAGAGGAAGGTTTATATGTATAATTCATGCATAATATAGTAGATAAATACTGATCATTTTAGAGGTTTCTAATGCGATGCTGAAAACCAACATTCAGCATTGCACCTGTGCGAAGTCGGGGCGGATCGCTAGTCAATAATAAGATAATAATATACTACGAAAAGCTGCTAAAGAAGACTACTTTCCAACCGAGTTTTCCAAGACACTCAAGCATTTAATCTTATGTTCTCAAACTGTCCAGTGCATGATTACCATCGAGATAAACGGTTATACGGTGGTAGAGCCATGCAGCAGCCTCGGCTGTTGCACGAATGGGCAGGCCCGTCCGGGTAAGTACCACGACCTCACAGAAGACCAGCGTAAAGTGGAAGTATGACAAATACTTTCGCGTTTCTACTGGTGAGTGAGGTAGCCGGAGCTCAATTTTTAATAGGTTGTCACCGCATCTGTAACCCTCGGATGTAGCAGATTTCCATGGGCGGCGGTATTCACTTATCATCAGGTGAACTGTCTGCTCGTTTGGCAACTTTTCGCATAAAAAAAAACGTAGGCACGAGTTAAGTGAAAGCTTATTACCTAATCCTTTTACAGGAACCCTATTTTCCCGTTTTTCCGCTTGAATTTCGAAACAGAACGTACTAATAACTATTAAAAATAATGGTTTTAGGTCGATCTAGATCTCGATTACATAAAGCGAATTACTTGTAGGATCACTTTTTGTCCACCTGTCTGTCAGAGACACGGAGAAGACGCTTGTCTACTCTTATTATTCAGTTGCGGTCGAAGTCCCCTTTTTTTGTGTAATAAATTTAAAACTCTAAAAATTTTACCTCTTTAAAATAAAATCATACCGGCCATTTTGCCTTATTATGTTCCTCGTAAACCCACCCGTCATAATTTATATTGGTTTTTCCGTTAACCTACATTTAGAAATTTGGCATGAAGATACGTTTCACCCTACCGTAAAGGTAACGTCCCAAAAATTGTTAATATGTAATCATCGCATATATGATAATTAAGTTTATACGGAACTTTTGTTTGAACGTATCATTCCAAATTATAATCGTCCAGTTTTTTTCACAACATCATGTTTCAAAAAGCTTCTATTTAGATCGCTTATTTTTCATGGTTTATGAATAGCCTGAACTTTATATATATGTAAGTATAGTTTCAGAATATTGTTGATAAAGCGTCTTTCTATTTTCCGTACGGTTACACATTTTGATAAACCTTTTCATGATTATTTTTATGAGCGGCTCGAGTAGATTCGGACCCTTTACTATTCTGCTTTATTAGGCACGATATCTTTTTCTGTTCTCGTCTGTGCCGACATGAATATATGTACATACATTTTCACGTTATACTCATATATATATATATATATATAGTTTCATGTTATAATAGTTTATTTTTACGTATACATAAAGCGGAAATAAAAATGTTTCTACTACAAACTGACCTGTACATAATTTGTTAAAGTTAAATGATATTGCGCCATAAAAATGATTTAAGACACACAACAACGGTATTTGACATCAAACAAAAGTTATATTGTATTTAAAAGAACCATATCCGTTATCGTTTCATCTCAGTGTAAATACGAAAGTTTTTTGTTTGTGTTTATTCTCTTTTTATGCGACTACTTATACCTAAATTGATTCGAATGAAATTTGGAATTAAATTTTTCCATATGAAGTATCCGGACTGAATCATATTTATTAATAAATAAATACATATTTAACGTACGAAGAAGACAAATCTGAAGAATAAATTTGTTAATAGGATTCAAGGGCGGTAATACTTTACGTTTAATAACTCATTTTCCCTGAATGGCACAAAATATTCGTACTATCTAGTAGGGTATCGTACTTAGATTTATGTTAACATTATTTTAGGTCTCATTTTCTGTCACAATCTCAGCGGTGGGTTTCCATCTTTACGCCGATAGCATTTCAATACTTATTTTGAATTTGCCAATGTCCTTGTTTCAGCTTAATCGACAAAGCTATCACTTATGCATTATTTATTTAAGAAAATATTAGCAACGTACCTAACGCTGCTAAATTCTGATATTGAAGTGCAACTAAAGATCTCCAGAAGATCATATTTCATCTTCGTACAATTAACCATATCAAAGTAGTTTTACTTATGCGTATTACCACCATGAAATCCGTACCAAGTCCGCTAATCCTGCATTTGTTGAAGCTTTAAAACTCTATGTACATCACAAACAAAACCAACAGCTTTACTGTTGGTTTTGTTTAAAAGTAAAGCATTTAAGTTATGTAACATAAAGAATAATTATTAAAAAAAATTCAATACACACAAACAGAAATTCGCAATCTTGCTATATAATATTGTATACATAGGTAGTATAAATTGGAATTGTTCGCACATTAACCTGTAACTAACACTAGGCACCCTATAGCAATGGACGGGAAGCCCCTATTTAATTACCACCTGGTACTGAAGGCATCTTATTTACATGAAGTACGTCTATAATTAATCAATCAAGCGGTGCGTTCATAATAATAGGTTGTTTGTTGTTCTCTAAATGAAATATACCAAAGGGAATGAAATACTATACTAACTAAACTTGTGTCTGTGCGCGTTCGTTTTTATTATATTACCTATGTTTAGATCTTCTTTTATTGACTTTTTAAATGCGTTGTATGGCAGAAAAATATTGTCTAAATGTAAATACTTGGTGTTGTATGTATATCCCAACATTAATATAGGTAGGTAAAACATTAATAATATTTTCATTAACAAGAAATCGTTGAATAATTTATTTCTACAAATTTTAATAATTTTTTGATATAAACTTTCTTTACTTCTTGTTTAATAAAAACAAAGCAAAAGTATATAGTATACATATATTCTCTATTTCGTTCTGATTACGTTTGAGACTAACAAGTTATATTTAAATCTCGTTAAATTAAGCCTCACTTAATATACAACCCAGTAAATTATTTTTATATCTTCCGATCTAATGAAATTTTAATGTTTTTTGTCCAGTCGGGTTAAGTGCCTTTTTAGGTTTTCTGTCTTACGTCTTTGCCTACAAATTTTGTTGGTTTTAGATAAAATTTCACGAAATTTTAAAATACGGTTATAAGGTGTCTTTGAGAATTAATATTTCTAGTTGACCCGTGCAAAATTTTCACACCATGATCAATCACCGAATTTATAATGCTCTAACCTACTTACTACACCGTAATATTATAATGTACTTATATTAATAAAATTACCGTAATTTTATAATAAATATTTTTTAACTTGCTTCGATATCATTCATTTAAATAAATTGACCCTATATTAAGATCAAACATTCTTTAAAAGAAATTTTTGCACTAATTTGTTACAGAGACCATTGACCTTATCCTACTTGTGAATTTATCGTCAATAGCGGCA